ATAACGCATATTCGCTCTTTTGTTGAATAAAAGTGACAAAATAAATTCTTTATGATAAAAGAAATCCTCTCTGAAAGCAGGGTCCATTGTACGATTCCGACTATATTATAAGCATTTGTTTATGAATCACTATCATATTCATTCGTGACCAACTCGTGGTATTCCGGGACAAGCCGAATAGGTTACGGAAATGGGCGAGTGGTGACGAATGTCATATTGTGATGATACCAGGTGTTCGCGAAAAGGTAAGCGTAACATGTCAAATCGATGGCACCAGTCACAAACACATGCAAAGGTAAATTAAGTGTTCACCTGGAAAAAAATGCATCGGACATCTATTTTGTCACTGAAGCGTCAAATTTGGAAATGTCCATGCCATAAAATTTTGTAAAAGCTTTGCTAAGGCCATGAATGTTGCAACCTTGATCAAACAACTTTTGTTTTGTTTGTTTGTTGTTTAACGCCGCACCCAGCAATATTCCAGCTATATGACGGCGGTCTGTAAATAATCGAGTCTGGACCAGACAATCCAGTGATTGACATCATGAGCATCCATCCACGCAACTGGGATAAGATGACATGCCTCAACCAAGACAGCGAGCCTGATCATCCGATCCCATTAGTCGCCTCTCACGGCAAGCATAGTCACCTTTAACGGCAAGCATGGGTTGCTGAAGGCCTATTTTAACCCGGATCTTCACGAGCAAGAGTTGTATGATCCTCTTCGAAATCTTCGTAGAATGAGCATGCTCGATTGTACCTCAAAAGTTGTGAAATATGGACATCAAAGGATTATTGTTCGACATAAAGGGAAACTGTTCTATAGGAAAGATGAAGTCATCCCACTTGTCTTACTATCCTGTGGATAATTTTTGTTAATCTGAATCTTTATGCATTGGTCTAAATATGAAACAGACCGTTATTGAACGATATCAGATTATTTTTACACAATGCCATTTAGAAAGTGGTCAAATGTAACAAATGTTATATTTGGGATAACACTTTCTTAGTAAAGTACAGATTCTCGTACCTTTTGGAGTTGAGTCCCGTCCGGGATTCGAATCAGATTATCGACATACTTGAAGCTTAACCTGTGAAGATCCAGGTTAGAGTTGGTCTTCAGCAAATCCATGCTTCTCGTGAAAGGCGAAGCGGGTGGTCAGGTTAATGCATGTCATCGTTTCCCAAATGCAAGATCGATGCTATTGACAGAGACCCGTGAAGATCCGGGTTAGGACTGGTCTTCAGCAACCCATGCTTGTCGTAAGAGGCGACTACCGGGGCCGTTTAGTAAGAATCGCTGACTTGGTTTATCATGTAATCGTATCCCAGTTGCGTTGATCGATGCCCTTTGTGTCAGTCACTCGATTATCTGGTCCTGATTCAATTGTTTACAGGCCGCCGTCATAAAGCTGAAACTTTGGTGAGTGCGGCGTTAAACGAACCAACCAACCTGAACCATGCATAAATTAAACTTGGGGTCCAAATTCCCTTGTTTGGATTTTTCCAACTTGAGCAGAAATTCTGATTCCTATACATAAGAAACAGTTCAGCCAGGCTTGGTGCCCATGGGGATGCCTAATTTTTGTCTAAAAGCCTTTCCTTAAATTTCATACAGATGTTAGCAGTTAGGAAGTCGAGAATTTCACATATAGTTTTATCAGTACACTTTAGATGAAATTTGCTTTCACATTGACAATTTGTCCTGAATATATACTCACACGCAAAAGAAACGCAAGTGGTTTTAAGCATATAGGTAACAAACACGGAACCATATATTGATACGATTTTCAGCATGTAGTGAAGCCTGATGGTGTTATCAATATTTTTGGTTGCATTTTGGAAGCCCCGAGTAAAAACGCAACATAAAAAACGAATAGCCAAAACGCACCATTTCAATGAATATGTGGGTATCATGCACCCATTTCTCGCGAAAATGCACGAACTGTAGTGGGTATAAAACTGTGGCCGATTGTTGGACCTACCACTCCTTGGTCAACAATGCCACGCCTAACTCAAATTCAGAGAAACCAGGCTATCGGACGTTTGGAAGCTGGAGAGTCTGTCCAAGATGTTGCCGGTGATTTCAACGTTAACATAACCACAATTTACCGTCTCCTGCATCGATACAATGCTACACAGACCACAGACCACCTTCCTCGGAGCAGAAGTCCTGGGGTTACCACACCTCAAGATCGGCAGATTACCCGTCAACACCAGCGACATCCGTTCCTAACTGCAAGTGCAAGTGCTCGACAGACCATAGGAACACATAATCGACACATTAGCCGGGACACTGTGATCCGACGTCTCCGTTCCAACAACCTCAGATGTCGCCGACCAGCACGTCGTTCTGTTCTCCAACAACGGCATCGACAAGCACGACTTCAGTGGGCACAGGGTCATCACAATTGGCGTCATCGTGAGTGGAGTGATGAAATTTGTTTTTATGTCTCCCATGCAGACGGAAGAGTCAGAATTTGGCGGCGTCGAAGTGATTGTTTCGCTGTCAGAAACGTTGCGGAAAGGGATCCATGGGGTGGACCTAGCGTCATGATATGGGCAGGGATTGGACATAACGTGAGACTTGGACCCATGTGCTTTCTGAATGTTGGTCAAGGTCGGGGACACGGCGTCACTGCTCAGCGGTATATCGACCAAGTGATCAGACCCCACATTGTTCCATTTTTTGCACATCAACAACACGTTTTCCAGCAGGACAACGCTCGTCCCCATGTTGCCAAAGCTACCATGGCCTTTCTGCAACAACACAACATCCGTGTTCTACCGTGGCCAGCCCTCAGCCCTGATCTGAACCCCCATCGAACACTTCTGAGGTGAGGTGAAATGGGGTTTAACGTCGCGTCCAAGATTATTGCACTTATATAGCGACGTGCATGCACGTGTGTGTGTGTGTGACTGCTTGTACTAGTCCGGACTGATGCCGATTTATAGTGCTAGCTCACTGAGATACCATGCCGCAGTTTAACATGAATACCCCACTCAGACACAGTATACTGACTCCGAGCCGACCAGTCCTTGTTTGATCCCCTTAATGCCGAGCGCCAGACAGGGTAACAACAAGTACCATCTTTAAACGTCTTTTGGTATGACGCGGTCGGGGATCGAACCCCGGACCTTCCGCTCTCCTGGCGGACGCTCTACCACTAGACTACGGAGGCGGTCTCGAACACTTGTGAGGTTCAAAGGCGTCTGCACAATGTGCGCCCAGTCCCTACGACTGCCCATGAACTACGCACAGCTGCTCTGGATGTGTGCAGGAGGATCCCTAGGGCCTTCGTCTGATCCACTCAATGTATAGGAGAAGTGTGGCAGTGATTAATGCTAATTGTGGTCACACCAGGTATTGACTGAAACTGTGGAAGCCCTTAACATTTGAACAAAACAATTATGTCATCTGCCTTTTAATCCATTCAACTGTCTTCAGTCAAATTTTTGTCAATCTTGCCCTATTAGTATTTCTTGTCTTTACTGTTGAAAATAAATAACATGTATACTGCATACTCGACTTGCGTTTCTTTTGCGTGTGAGTATAGATAAGTAACTGTATCTATGGTCAACAAAGGCCCCATGGATCAAGAAAGTAAGTTTTCCCTTAAGTTTGTCATGTGGGATAGGGGGGTGTACAACGGTAATACATTGATACAAATCCTAAAATAGCTGAATATAGCTAAAATTAACACAAAAGTGCGCAGGTATAAAATAATGTCATTTGTTCTCTGAAAATCACCTAGTTTTCGACTCGTCCCTATCGCTCCAGATGACCCCAAAAGTAAAACATATTACATGGTGTCGTATATAAATACAATAACGAATATGGTCCGGAGCCCTTCGATGCATGATATATGTTAGATTTAATTAAAAATAATAACTAGAAGAGCTAAAAACTTGGCTAATTTACGCCCCATGTGCTCGAGTGAAATCACATTTTTTACTGTCCAGCGAGAAAATGGTAGTTGCTCCCTACCATCTTCCGGTTTTGCATACACAGCGCCGGAAAATCTGGAAAACGTTTTAGCTTCTTCTCGGGTTGGGTTAAATGAAGTGAGGCTGTTAAAGATACGTTAGCAAATATAGCTCTGGGAATGGGCTGATGGTTGGTGCATAGGTGGGTGGGTTGGTGACGGAGTAGACGAGAGGAGATATTCCTCCTCTTATGAGTGAGTAGTTTGTTTAACGCTGCTTTTAACAGTATTCCAGTTATATCGCGGCGTCTCAGCTTAATGTGGGAGGAAAGCCCGAAGTGATGCAGGTCTCATAGGTTTCTGACATGCCAAACTCTGCACAGCTAATTGCGGCGCCTTAGACGAATGGGCCACCTGTGCCCCCCTCCTCTTATGGGGATTAGAATTCAAAGATGTGTGCTCCCAACGACTTGACTATTTACTTGACGCTGAACTCGGCAATATTCCAGCTACTAGTATATGCTGGTCTGAAAAATATCAAGTCTGGGCCAGACAATCCAGTGATTGACATCATGAGCATCCATCCATGCAACTGGGATACGATGTCATGCATCAACCATGTCAGCAAGCCTGACCACCCGACCCCGATCCGGTTAGTCGCCTAATGCGACGAGCATAGTCGCCTTTTACGGCAATCATGGGTTTCTGGAGACCTTTATGTGTGAAGCTTTTAGTGAGTGAATAAATGGGTGCGTGAGTGGGTGGGTAGGTGATTGATTAACGGAATTGGTTGGTACGTGAGTCAGTATTGCGCAGCTGTCAGCAGCTATATCACTGTGGTATACAACTGCCTGAGCAGCGACTGTGTACATGGCTGGGTACAACACACAAATGCTTGTCGTAAGAGGCGACTAATGGGATTGGATGATCAGGCTTGCTGTCTGTCATTGTATCCCAATTGCGTGGATCGATGCTCATGATGTCAATAACTGGATCGATTTACAGACCGCTGTCATATAGCTGGAATAACAACAAACAAACACATCTGAAAACATATTAATAGATGAGAACACAGGAGTTGTAAGGCTTTATTGATATATTACACCCTTGCGATAAACAACACATTGTACATAGTACAACGTTATTTCATAAATCAGCATCCCCATCCCTATGCAATATATTGCAGCATTATTGGTTTAATGAAACAATAACAGACAAAAGATAATATATTAAAATATAAGTGTTACAGAGGTAATCTAGGATAGCAAGTACATTTCATGAGAAATAGGTTGGCACCGGTTGTCTTAAAAGAGATTCAAACCATCAAATTTGAATAATCCAATAACAGTAAAGAAAAGAGGTGTACACAAGAAAATAAGTGTGTTCTGTATATATTATAATGGACATATATTTTTTTATCCACCAGAGTACCGGGTAAATGTCAACAAAAATGTCTGTATCATATTAGTTGGACTTCCAACATCAATACGACAATATTGTCACGAGATCATAAAGGTACATAAACACTAACATAAACAAAATAATTGACAAAGAAAGAGGACAAAATTAAACAATTATCTGACATAATACACACACCTTAGGCAGTCTGATTCAAACAGTGTAAAATGTCAAACCATGTTCCGCCCTTGAACTGGAATGTTTAAAGGGGGTGATTTAAGTTGATTTGCTTGAGCAAAAAATTACAGTCACAGCCTTATGATTACTTTGTCTCACCATCACCTCAAGGATTTGTCAAATTAAGTACTAAAACTAAACAGAAATGTAAGTGATAACTTTGATATGCATAAAATTTTGTTGTAAAATCATTTAAGGATCACAGAGTCATACCTTGTAATTTCCTATACATATGCATAAGTTACTTTTCATCTAACATAATTATCCTATAATTGAAATTAACTGGTTAAACATGAAAAAGAAGCCTGTGGACTATTGCAATTATATGACTGTTTAAGGTGTAAATATTAGCCCAAACTGTCCACACAACTTCTGTTCAAGGAACCTGTGAACAAAGAAAAATAAAATTAATTGTGTATCTGTTGAGATGGAACACAAATAGTGATGGTATTATCCAATACTGAGTGAGTGAGTGAGTGAGTTGGGTTTAATGCCGCTTTTAACAGTATTCCAGTTATATCACGGCGTGTCAGCTTAATGTGGGAGGAAAGCCTGAAGTGATGCAGGTCTCAGACATTTACCACTTTGGTGAAACCCACGAGCACGGGTATGGTGCTGACAAACCTAGAAACATAATCAGGGCGAACCTGGATTCGAACAAACAGTCATAGGTTTCTGGCGTGCCCAAGGGACGCAACTCTGCACAGCAAATCGCGGCATCTGAGACGAATGGGCCACCTGTGCCCCCCTCCTCTTTTGATGATTAGAATTCAGGGATATGTGCTCTGAACGTAACAACTCGACTATTTACTTGACTCTTCATGTTTGTTTGATTGTTGTTTAACGCCAAACCCATGAGCACGGGTATGGTGAAATTAAATGTGTGTCTGTTGAGATGGAACACAAATAGTGATGGTATTATCCAATACTGACTGAGTGAGTGAGTGAGTGAGTGAGTGAGTGACTTGGGTTTAACACCGCTTTTAACAGTATTCCAGTTATATCACGGCGTGTCAGCTTTAAGCCCAAAGTGATACAGGTCTCAGACATTTACCACTTCGGTGAAACCCACAAGTTTGGGTATTCTGCTAAAAACCTAGAAACATAATAAGGGCGAACCGGGATTCAAACCCACAATCATAGGTTTCTGGCGTGCCAAAGGGACGCAACTCTGCACAGCGAATCGTGGCGCCTTAGACAACTGGGCCAACCGTGGCCTCTTAACCAATACTGGGACAAGCTGAACTAACTATTTAGGAGACTCAAGAAAACAGGATTTGACCTGGCTAACCAATACTTTGACAGACAGTGAGGCTCATGTGGCCACACCACTGTTAGTTATAAACACTGACACAACTCTCCACCAATATTGAGTCTCAAAGAACACATACAGTGACACCATTCACCAATATTAAGATCAAGCATTACGGAGATTCTAGTACACACAGTAAATGTTGATCATTAGCAAAGGATGTCCAACACGCACACATGGTGACTGTAAATCATTATTATGGCTAAAATGGATAGAATTATCATTAGTCCGCCCGCATGTTATCAGAAATGCGTGGCAACTGTAACTTGATAATGCCCACATATTGCTTGACGATGGGCAATTATCATGCTTGTTGTTAGGTTACATTATAGGGATAGGGAAAGATGACATCACGTTCAATAGTCACGCCATCTTGTTTGTTCTGACGTTTCCATATTTGTAAAAGTGTGTCAGTGACATTCATGTTGATTGCAGTACGTTTCAAAACCAATATTGTTTCTTTTTATTATTTGATATCAAATTCCATCCATTTTAGCTGTAATAACGGTAACGCTATATTTCAGGGCATTATCATTTGCAGAAGTGTATTGTCTTTTCAACTGCCCTCCTTCATCGGGAAGTTAATGGAAGCCCTTGGGCTCCTGCAAATAACAATGCCCTGAAAAATAGCGTTACCCTTAATATATCAAGAGATGTCTTAACACACACACACACACATTAGCCAATATCGAGTATCATAGTGACCTGTTCAACTAACATTGGAACATCTATCTGATGATATTTCATTAACTAATTTCCTACTGAAACGTCACTGATTACAATCTCGACCCGTGAAGATCCGGGGTAGAGTAGGTCTTCAGCAACCCATGCTTGCCACAAAAAGGCGACTATGCTTGTCGTAAGAGGCGACTAACGGGATCGGGTGGTCTGACTCGCTGACTTGGTTGATGCATGTCATCGATGATCCCAATTGCTTGGATCGATGCTCATGATATTAATCACTGGATTGTCTGGTCCAGACTCGATTATTCACAGACCGCTGTCATATAGCTGGAATATTGCTGAGTGCGGCGTTAAACAACAAAAAAAGAAAAAAAGATTACAATCTCAAATTTAGTTACATTTGGAAACAAGCATGAAACAATTCTTGATGTTCTGAACTATCTCAGCCAATCAACACATTTTACTCACTGCAATCTTCAGAGCCTGGTCTATATCAGCTATGATGTCTTCCAAGTCCTCGATGCCCACAGAGAGTCGGATCAGGCTGTCTGTGATGCCCAGCTCAACACGCTGCTCGGCCGGGACGGAGGCATGTGTTTGAAGTGATCTGTATCAATAATACTTACATTTGGACTTTCTTTTCTCACAAATTCCTATATCCATATAACAAATTTGAATAAAAGAATTTTGTTTTTTTCCTCAGAATAATGCTGAGATACTATAGTGAATGAGAGAGTGAGTGAGTTTTGTTTAATGCAACTTTGAATGGTATTTCAGATATATCATGGCTTGTAAGCTTGATGTGGGAGGAAAGCACGAAGTCATGGACATTTACTTCTATCGTGAAACCGACGAGTACGACAAAACCTAGAAACATATTCAGGGTGAATCTGAGATTCAAACCAACAATCATAGGCTTCTGGCACGCATAAGGGACGCATCTCTACTAGTGTCTGACTGATAAAATGACAAACAAGTAGACACTTGCCAATGAGAAAGTACCTTTCTCTAACGTAAGAGTACTTCTTTCAAACTAGCGATTTCCATTCAAGACCATGCTTTAAAAAATCTCTTGATGAAGTTCTCTATTTGAAATTTTGAAACTGAACAAAAGAAAATTGTGAAGATTGTATTGCAGTTCTTCCAACAGGCTATGGAAAAAGTCTGCCATTTCCAATGTTTATCACACTGAAGCCAGAGATAGACAATGATTTTGACTAAATCAGTCATACAGCCCTTAACAGTCGTTAGGAATACCCCGTGTTAAACTTTTCAAGGTTGCAGGACTAGAAAACATTCACACTGTCACTTTCCCAATCAACGTTTTGATTGGTTGGACGAAGAGTCAATCTGACATGACCTGGAATGGATGCCCTCAGATCTTTGCTTAGCGGTAGTGAGAACTAAGGTCAGTTTTAAATGAGATTATAGAGATAATGACATTCCTCATTTGGAACTGAACTTGTTCTTGACTGGTTGTATTTGCATTACAACTTCTCAGAACATTGTGATTACGTTTCAAACATTTTATTTACAGGGCCTTTACGAACCTATGACAGCTTTTTGTTAAGCTGCTTGAGACAATGCTAATGGGTAAAAGGCGACTAACGGGATCGGGTGGTCAGGCTCGCTGACTTGGTTGATACATGTCATCGATCCCAATCGATGCTCATGATGTCAATCACTAAATTGTCTGGCCCAGACTCGATTATTTACAGACCGCCGTCATATAGCTGGCATATTGCGGAGTGCAGCGTTAAACAAAAAAAACAACAACAATGCTAATGGAGAAGCAAGCTTATAAACACAATGTAAATGATTAGAGAATAATCTGATTATTTCAGAGATTATTTTTCAAAGCACTTTTTGTTCAAAGCACACACCCACGTTAAAACATTGCAAAACATGTTTCATGAATTTAATAGTAATAGTTTCTGTAAGATGTCATATTCAAATTACAGTCGTAAACAAGAGTCAGTAATACTAAGTTGATATGATTTGTTCATTTCTGAATTGCAGAGGGACTCAAACAGAACACTTACGGTAATTCACATAGACTTTCATACCCTCCTAGACTCTCAGCCAGCGTGAAGATCTGAAGAAATAAAGACGTTGAGACATCCACAAAACATCCCTTATACTCGACATGCTTTTACACCACATAAAATCTTGTCACTACCATAATGCAAAACGACAATGAAAAAAATCCCAACCTAAAAATAGTGTTTGAAATCTTTCTTAACATTGATGTTCTTGATATCATTATCGGAAAATAAAAGTAAACAAGGCAAAAAGTGAGCAATACCCCGACCTCGACTCCAACAGTTCAAAACATTAAAAAAAAAATCAACATTTTCTAAGAAAATTCACTTTTGCGCTGCACCTCTCCTCTTGGTATAGAAACTGTACCCCCAATTGGAAAAGAATACATGAAGTAGTTTTTAAGTTATAGGATGAAACAAATGTCCAGTCTTGCTTGACAACGGTATAAGGTTCTATATCGAAACGTCACCTTTTACAGTATTAAAGAAGTTGTTATCCATAAATTGTGTCTACTTTGAGAAGAAAGCAGTTTCCCCCAAACACTGGTACATCAACTCCATGTACCAAATTATCTACATTGAAGACAGAACTCTCAAATAATGAAAACATATACTACTAAGAAGTTAAAGAACACCCAATTCTTTAGTTCATATGTTATGCCACAAATATGAAAGTTTTGTTTGTTTGTCTGTTGGTTAACGCCGAACTCAGCAATATTCCAGCTATATGAGTGAGTGAGTGAGTATAGGTTTACGCCGCTTTTAGCAATATTCCAGCAATATCACGGTGGGGGACACCAGAAATGGGCTTCACACATTGTACCCATGTTGGGAATCGAACCCGGGTCTTCGGCGTGACGAGCGAACGCTTTAACCACTAAGCTACCCGACCGACCCCCAGCTATATGAATCATGTGCACTTTAATTTTTTAAAATTTGTATATAAGTTATAACATTATAACTAAATCCTCACTGACCTTGAGATTTTGAAGAAACTTCTTGGACTCTTCCAGTCCACCCTTGATGAAGAAAGTGACCATACCACTGTACCCCTTCATCTGGCGTTTGCCTAGCTCATATTGGGGGTGCGACGGCAAACCTGGGGAAACACCCATCAGTACATCATACCAAAACACCACACAATATGTATTTTTTAGTTTACAGATATACATGTACTACTCAAAAGACGTAAAAGAAAACATTATTCTTTCATATTACTTCAGTTAATCTGTCATGATGATTCTTTCATGTTATTGTAGTTAAGAATGTGATAAGATACTGGGGATTCCCCATTTCAGTTATACATAGCAGCAAGAATGTGACAATGAGATACTGGGTAATCCCCATTTCAGTTATACATAGCAGCAAGAATATGACAATAAGACACTGGGGAATCCCCATTTCAGTTATATATAGCAGCAACAATATGACAATAAGATATTGCCCATTTTAGTTATATATTGAAAAAAAAAGTAAGGGGTCATGAAGATTTCTGGGGATATTGTTTTGTAGTGAAGACTTGAATTTGTGTAAATGTAAAAATATTTCATCATCCCTAACTTATTTTGTTCAGTATATACAACAGCAAGAACATGATCCTGGGGAACCGTTGAATCCAGATACCTCTGGGACATACGACATACACACCAACTTACTCACACAGGCAGGAACATAAGACAACCAGGGTAATAGTTTCAGCAAAGTGTTGGAGTTTGAAATAAACCACTGAGGGAAGGGAGACAACTCACCTGGATGGTTGACTTTCTCAACCCTGGGACTAGCTTCCAGGAACTTGGCTACAGCCAAACCATTCTTCATGTGCTCCTTCATGCGGACGTGTAGGGTCTTAAGGCCTCGGTTCACCAAGTAGCAGTCAAATGGAGAGGGCACCGAACCAATTGCTGGACAACGATATACATGATGACAAGGAGAATGAGTGAGTGAGTGAGTATGAGTGAGCCCACCAGAAACGGACTTCACTCCTTGTACCCATGTCGGGAATCGAACCCGGGTCTTCGGCGTGACGAGTGAACGCTTTAACCACTAGGCTACCCAACTGCCCCAGATGACAAGGAGAGGCTTGTAGAGACACTCATCTCTGTGCTCTTAAGTGCATACACTTCAATAACAAGTCTTGTTGATTTATTGGTTTAATAATTGCCAATACATATCATTGTGACAATCAGCCATTTCCCCCTCTCAAGTGGCTAAGTGGTCCAAGTACAAAATATTAATAACCCTTCAATTTTTAATTTTGTTTTAAATGAAGGATGAGAACAAGAATACCATTTCAAATTCTCTATTTCAAACTTGTGACAGGAATAGTATAGTATAGTTCATAGTATTTACAAGGTTTATAAGGTTTATAAGGGATATAAAGGATATAACACTGCTTGGAGACCTGCGTAGCTACAAATGGTATTCATCATTACATCTTATACCTTGTGACTGTGAGTCATAAGCATACATCAGGCAATTTGTGTTTAAGTGTCATTATCAGGCTGGCTGTAATAATTAATACTAAGGCTAAAAAATATGATAGTCTTGGTTCTCAGGCACCGCCCGCATCATCATAAAGTCTGCCGCACGTTTTGTTTTTATTTCCATTTTAAAGAACCCATAAAAATCATAGTACTTAAAAACAATGTGATCCAATATAGCACACAGTTACTTCCCTTTACATGTGCACTGCTTTACTGTGCATCTCGTGGCACGGTGGCAATAGCAGTTTGTATGCTTGTTTATATAGGGAGGCCCTTTCCCAGGTTGAAGGTACACAACTGTTTATTTGGTTACATACTTGTTTGAACAAGCAAAAACAAAACAAAAAGACACTACCTGCACTATATTTTCAAAAGTCATTGCCTGAGAACCAATTCTTTTATTTTCTTTAAGCCCCAGAACAGAAATGTTCCTTTTTTTGACATTTCCAAATTTTAAGGAATGCTCTAAATATAGAAACAAATGCCTTGAACATCGGACAACTATACACTCACCATTCTGTAGGAACCTCATCTCCTCGGCGAGTTCGTCATCATTGACAACAGCAGCGCCCATGATAACATCGGAGTGACCTTAGGACAGATGACGTATGTCTCAAAACTGCAGACAGTGATACCCTGTCAGTCCACAACCCTGTCAGTCCACAACCCATGCATCCCCAGACAAATCACTGGTAAATCACCGGTAGATTCCGAGAAACGTGTGTACGGCTGATTGCTACTTCTGGCTTAGTTTACGGGAAACTACACACAGTAATCTTAATCTCTCCACAAAAACACAATGCCTATCAGAACAGGAAATACAATTTAATCGGTAAATTTGTATTTAATTGCTATGATCTGTTCGTTTCCCTGAATTCGCTGAAGGGAAATGATGTAATTTTGTCTGCGGAAGATAGACACGTTTTAACCCCTTAATGCCGAGCACCAGGAAGGGTAACATCAAGTACCTTCTTTTAAGATTGTTTGGTATGAAGTGGGTAGATGCTCTACCCACTAGACAATGGAGGCAGTCCCTACTGTCAGGAACACTAATGCATAATATATACAGACTATAATATTAGTGAGTGCGTTTTGGTATCGTAATTATCATATGCTACGAGTAAATATTGTATTAGGCAAACCAGTGGTGGACATAATACCCAGTTTTTATTCTTTAAATATGATATTTTCATTACGATTTACATTCATGACTTAGTTTCACTCAATGACATATCTTTAGAAACAGTGTATGAAAACAGTGTTTGCCACACATAGCATATAGTGCAAACTAATTGGCAGTCATATTTTTCTGCAGAAACATCCATACACATGGAAACCCCTATCTAACCATGCTGGAAATGTCAGACAATAACTTATTGAGGATCCAAACACAGCTTCAAAGTGTGCGACTTAAAAGTAGTTCCAGCAAGGTGAACTGATTTGCATATTTATTGGATAGTGATACCAGGGTTGGTTTATCACATGGATGATACTATCTATTATATGAAAATATTGAGTCTACTAGACACAAATAATTTATTCATTGCAGCCCTCTAAGTTTGTATTATGGTTTGGGAGCCAAGCGGCTCCTAACATGAGTATTTTAGGAGCCAAACCAAAGTTTTTAGGAGCCAACAGATATCTTAACAGATATTGTCGCCAGTCATGTTTACTTTTAGGTAGCCAAGTGGAGAAAAATATTTTCATTGCCAATCATAAATTTAAGTCTCATTTGGTCACCAAAATGGTCACTACTTAGAGGGCTGCATTAGCTTGTTTTCATTTGGAACAATGCATGTACTGATTAATGACTACTTGATGATTGGTCAATGTCATGTTACCATAACATCTCATTCAGGAAAATTCAATGTTTAAAATGAAATAATGTCTACATAAATAAGAACATATCCATCACTCTTGTCTTTTAGCTCAAAAGTACATGATAAATGTGAATTACATTCAACAAGAACCTATTTTTAAATGCGACCTTGGTTATCCAACTTCACCTACCATTCATGTACTTGGAGAGGGAATGCATGGACATGTCAGCCCCCAGCTCCAGGGGTCTCTGCAAAAACAAACCAGAATAAGGTGAGGTGAAATTGGGTTTAACGTCGCATCCAAGATTATTGCACTTATATAGCGACGTGCATGTACGTGTGTGTGTTTGTGTGGCTGCTTGTACTAGTCCGGACTGATGCCAATTTGTAGTGCTAGCCCACTGAGATACCATGCAGCAGTTTAACATGAATACCCCACTCAGACACAGTATACTGACTACGAGCCGACCAGTCCTTGTATTAGCCCCTTAATGCCGAGCGCCAGACAGGGTAACAACAAGTACCATCTTTTAACGTCTTTTGGTATGACGAGGCCGGGGTTTGAACCCCAGACCTTCCGCTCTCCGGGCGGACGCTCTACCACTAGACCACGGAGGCGGTCAAACCAGAATAACCACATTGTAAAAAAAACGGTAAGTATTGTATAGCTTTGTTTGTTGTTTAATGCTGCACTCAGCAATATTCCAGCTATATGATGGCTGTCTGTAAATACAAATCTGGACCATATAATCCAGTGATTGACATTATGAGCATCGAACTTCACAATTAGGTCACGATGACATGCATCAATCAAGTCAGCGAGTGTGAGTGAGTTTGTTGTTTAACGCCGCACTCAGCAATTTTCCAGCTATATGACGGCGGTCTTTAAATAATCCAGTCTGGACCAGACAATCCAGTGATTGACATCATGAGCATCGATCCACGCCATTCCATATCATGGATCTTCACTGAGTTAAAGGTCAGGTTCTCCTGTCATGACCTCCTATGAAGGGTCTGTCAGATCGTAACACACAGATGTATCTAATCAGAATAATTTAAGATCTACCATTAACGATGCTGGGAATGTGTTAGTTTTATGGCATTATTCAATACTATTGGTATGACAACATGTCCTCAACCACTCAGAATATCCCAATAAAAAATTGGGTAGTATACATTTGAGAGGCTACAACCTAGATTTAATCATGACATACATTATGCAGAGTATACTACTCAAAGGAAAACAAAGAACACCCACGTTTACCACTTCGGTGAAACCCATGAGCACGGGTATGGTGCTGACAAACCTAGAAACATAATTGGGGCGAACCGGGATTCGAACCCACAATCATAGGTTTCTGATGTGCCCAAGGGACGCAACTGTGCACAGCGAATTGCAGAGCCTAAGACGAAAGGGCACCCGTGCCCCCGGTGTAGCAATAGGTGAACAAGCTTCTTGACTAAAAGGCAAAAGTGTATCTGCAGAGCTGTGGAGGATTCTTGTCTCTGGCACATTATGAATCTTTCAAAAAACCTACCTGGAAGTAGGAAGACATGAATGTGTTGTCAACAACGACGATAATCTTGCTCCTGGCTGCCCTTGTTACCTTGACAACAGCTGCAATGTCAACAAGCTTCATGGTGGGGTTCGTGGGCGTCTCCAGCCATATCATCTGAAATTGTTACAGCTGCTATGGATGTTGGTTGTTGTTGGTTTTTTTAACCATGCCGCACTCAGCCATATTCAAGCTATATGACGCGGTCTGTAAATAATGGAGTCTGGACCAGACAATCCAGTGATTGATATCATGATCATCAATCCACGGAATTGGGATCGATGACATGCATCAACCAAGTCAGCGAGCCTGACCACACGATCCCGTTAGTTGCCTCTTATGGCAAGCATAGTCGCCTTTTACGGCAAGTATGGGTTGCTGAAGAACTATTCTACCCCGGATCTTCACGGGTCAGCTATGGATGCTGTGCATAGGGTGAGTGAGTGAGTGACTATGGTTTTACGACACTTTTAGCAATATTCCAGCAATATCACGGCGGGGGACACCAGAAATGGGCCTCACACATTGTACCCATGACGGGAATCAAACCCGGGTCTTTGGCGTGACAAGCAACGCTTTAACCACGAGGCTACCCGACCGCCCCTTGTTGTGCATAGGCATCATAGTAGTTAATACACAAATATTTGGGAGAGTCATGGAAAAAATGTACAAGGACATAGGGAGGGTCACCCCACATTATGACAAGCATTGGGGGAGGGTAATTATTTTCAGTACTTTTGTGCATCAGTAACCTCTGACCTACCTACCCCTGTAATAAGTGACTGGTCCCTTATCATGGAGAATCTGGCGTTCGAACTGGTATATGGTTGGAAAGTCTAACACGACATGGGTCGTAGAATCTCATGAGCATGGTACACTGTTGACAAACCAAGTTTACGAGCATGATGAATCTGGTATTCAAACCAACAATATGCAGATTCTGGGATGACAAAGGGCCGCAACTCTGCACAGCAAATTGTAGGGCCTTAGACAACTATGACACCTGTGCCCTGTTACCTTTATTAATGAAACAAAGGTGTTATACAAACCTTGGTTTTTGGTGTGATTGCTTTCTGGACACTCTCTATATTGGTACAGTCAACAAATAAGGTCTCAATACCAAGCTTGCCTGCACACTTTCTGAAGTATCGGTTAGTTCCTGCAACAGACATCATCACCATGGTTACATATCTTCTCACTACTGTATTACAACATCCAGCAGAAAGTGATGTAAATGCAGAACTAAATTTTTCAAAAACTCATTTAAAACGTGTACAATGTCCACTTTCATTTGCAAACAAAAACGATTATCAAATCAACAACCTCACTGTTCAATTTGTACCTGCCTGTATTCTATACAAAAAATGAGCTTATAAATTTGTTTCATTAAAACTTTAAAACATGTAAAACATTTCACATATGCAAATACAGCATGATTACAATTTAGATATAGCAAATTGCATGCATTTAAAAATATCCATCTTGATTATGTTTGAAAACATGTTTTTAAAAATAATATTGTATCCATTCTAGCAGTTGTATAAAAATATAGATAGATATATAATTGTATTTATGAATGTAAATTAACATATGAATGAGGATACGTATCAGACAATAATAGTGTCATGATACTAGTGTTTTTCAACAGTCTATGTTACTTGTTTCAGTAGTACCATGTAGGATATAACATGAGTTATTTACCCCCATAAAGGTCATCCATGCTGATGATCTGGTCCCCAGCTGACAGAAGGCTGGTGATGGTGTTGGTTGCTGCTAGCCCAGAGGAAAAACAGAAGCCTGCAGCAACAGAATGTAAGGTGACAAATTCATAAACATTTATCAAACATCAACTCTACTAGTCAACATTTGCTAAGGACCAAAACTTTTGTTGGCCAAGATACAGTTGCGAGCGAGTGAGTGAGTGAGTGAGTGAGTGAGTGAGTGAGTGAGTGAGTGAGTGAGTGAGTGAGTGAGTGAGTGAGTGAGTATGCATTATTGCTTAAAGCCACATGACATTTGTAGCCATTCGTCGCCAAAACAAGGCAGTTGAGTGAGTGAGTGAGTGAGTGAGTGGTTTTACGCAGCTTTTAGCAATATTTCACCAATATCAGGGCGGGGAACACCAGAAATGGGCTTCACATGTAAGTAGTGGTATCATAATATTGAGTTGTTGATATCATTATCAACTGTTTACTCATGAAATTATACCGCTAACAGATTGATGTTAGTTCTAGCATCTTTGTTTTTCATTTTGTCATTGACAGACAACTGTCTTATTGTCATCTTTAGTCAATGGTGTGGTCCTTAGCATATGTTGAGTAGTATATATATATGATTAATATGTGAAGGAAATATCAAAATGAAATAAGCATAAAGTAATTTACATGAAAGAATTACCTTGAAGACTTGAGTCTAATTTAATCAAATGTCTTTTAACATGTTTAATCAACCTATGATGCCATTCATTGATAGTATGTAAATAATCATGTCTAGACCAGACAAAACAGTGATTGATATTATGAACAGTGTCGCATGTAATCCACCAAGTCACCGAGCCTGGCCATCAGATCCATTAGATTAGGTAACCTTGTACTGGGGATCCATTCTAACACAGAGTGAGTGAGTGAGTGAGTGAGTGAGTGAGTGAGTGAGTGAGTGAGTGAGTGAGTGAGTGAGTGAGTGAGTGAGTGAGTGAGTGAGTGAGTGAGTGAGTGAGTGAGTGAGTGAGTGAGTGAGTGAGTGAGTGAGGTTTTACGCCGCTTTTAGCAATATTCCAGCAATATCACAGCGGGGGACACCAGAAATGGGCTTCACACATTGTACCCATATGGGGAATCGAACCCGGGTCTTAGGCGAGAGGAGCGAACACTTTAACCACTAGGCTCCCCATCACCCCTTCTAACACAGAACCTCACAGAAGCATTATCAATAACAGTGAATGTGCGATATATGTTGTTCTGGGCTGTAGTAAAAATACTCAGCCATGGCAGCCCGTAGAGAGTACTAGATTATAGGTCAGAAACAAAGAGATAAATTCATCTTTGTTCAGAGTGAGTGAGTATGGTTTTACGCCGCTTTTAGCAATATTCCAGCAATATCACGGCGGGGGACACCAGAAATGGGCTTCACACATTGTACCCATGTCGGGAATCGAACCCGGGTCTTCGGCGTGACGAGCGAACGCTTTAACCACTAGGCTACCCGACCGCCCCCTTTGTTCAGAAGAGGTGTGTGTGGGACAGTCATTATGATGAAGGGCTCATTATTCATAGAGTGAGTGTGAGAGTGAGTTGGGTTTAACACCACTTTTAAAAGTATTCCAGTTATATCACTGCCTCATGTGGGAGGAAAGCCCGAAGTGATGCAGGTCAGATGTTTACCACTTTAGTGAAACCCACAAGAACGGGTATGGTGCTGACAAACCTAGAACATAATTGGGGCAAACCGGGATTCGAAACCCACAATCATCGGTTTCAGATGTGCCCAAGGGACGCAACTCTGCTCAGCGAGAGGAAATGACCAAAACATATCAATAGTCTCACACTGTACCTGTGAACTAGGGCACAACATGTTACAGACCATCACAGTCAGTCAGTCAATAACTCATAACAATGCTAGTGGGAAAATAGAACTAGTAATAATATCACAGTGGGTGTCTGAGTTCAGTTTCCAGGGATTTATCTAGTCCTAACAGTCCTAACTAGTTTAACAGTCCTAACTGGCTTAACAGTCCTAACTGGCTTAACAGTCCTAACTGGCTTAACAGTTCTAACTGGCTTAACAGTCCTAACTGGCTTAACAGTCCTAACTAGTTTAACAGTCCTAACTGGCTTAACAGTCCTAACTGGCTTAACAGTCCTAACTAGTTTAACAGTCCTAACTGGTATAACAGTCCTAACTGGCTTAACAGTCCTAACTGGCTTAACAGTCTTTACTGGCTTAACAGTCCTAACTAGCATAACAGTCCATCTCGCTCACTTGGTTGATGCATATCATCGTATCCAAATCACTGGATTGTCTGGTCCAGACTCGATTATTTACAGCCTGCTGTCATATAGCTGGAATATTGCTGAGTGCAGTGTTTAACAACAAACTTATGAAAGGAGCCCAAACCTGATTCTACTTCTATGTAAATTTAAAAGATTTAATAAATTAATTCCAGTGCTAAGCAATACAATTTGACATTAACATTTGAATAAGAAAGATGCTCAGAAGATACAAATGTAGTTTTCTTTCTTTCTGATAATAAATTTCTCTTTCTGTTAGCAACGTCCCACTCCATTGTTATCTGCTAGTGGAGGCGGAGGATAACAGGCATATCCCTCATGCCCTGTATTGTGTTAAGGTGTATAACAAATGGGATGTGCTCACTGACATTCCAAACAGGCATCTTTATGAGGGTTGTGTTGGACACTTAGAAAGACAAATACACCCCTGTTCTTGGACTGACACATTATTTGTCAACTGCTCCAGTACTAAACAGTGTCCACTTTCTCTACCCATCTGTTTAAAAACAAACCCCAGAAACAAGAAATTTATTTTAGACAGCCCCGTATCGTTGTAAATTTATACAATATTTACATGCAGAATCAAAAGATATTGGTTGAAAATACATTTGAGTGCTTTACATGTTTAACATATGTAGGGAGCATGTATAAATCCTCTATGTCCATCCTTTACTTCACTATTCATTCTGCTACAGATACAATAATTAATTGTTAGATTTTCATCTAAACTTTTCCAAAATGCTAGGCTTGTTGCCCAAAACAGATATTTTTCAATATGGCCTGATACAAAGACTTGTCGTTCACGTGTATGTACATATAAAATATGTAACCTAACCACTCCTGTACTGTTACTTTCTGGGTCAAGGTCAGAGTAAAGTAAACATTGCACAAGCATTGCACTAGACTAGTTTCAGATCGGTCCAGTTACTGGACATTTGCAACCTCTCGCTAAAGCACTGGATTTCCAATTAAAATAAGAGGTATCTAATCTAATTAGACTATCTCAAATTCTAAAACACAGCAGATTTATCTCCTAATTGAGTTATTCTACCATGAATTTGGAAATAACTTGATTCTGACTGGTCAATCAGGGGCTGTCAAATCACAATAAATCCCTTGTTTGAAACAGCTAATTTGACGAGAGAAATCTACAAAGAATGTTATTTAAGTTTTGGGGACATCATATCTTTTGCATCACAATGAGCGATATGAGATTATGATGTCATAATGGTGACGTGCGGTGAAGGACGAAAACAAACTGCTTGAGTATATAGAGCACCATAATTTTGTTAAAGGTTGTTGTTGGTGATTCAGTTATTCAGATCGACAACCAATTCGAAACGCTTGACTCAACCCATGCCACTTCACTGAGTATAATTACTAACACAAGAGAGTTTGTGTTTTGTTTAGTCATGGTAAAATGGAGACAAATATATCGTGTTTTCAGTGTAGAGCTAGGTTACCTGTAGATTTAATCGCGTTAATTAATTTAACAATAGTAACCTCATAGTGCGTGTTTGGTTCCAAATTCAATTTAGCAGGGTTAAATCTACAGGTAACCTAGCTCTACATTGAAAACACAGCAACTTTATCTCCTAATTGACACCAGAAATGTCCTAATGCTTTCAAATAAAGTGGTGATATATCAGAATATCCCATCAATAGATGACAAAACATGAAGATGTCCTAAAACTATTTGTCTCTAGCAAGAATCAATGTTAAAGGGAGATCAACACTGTAGTCATACTTAGGGCTGCAATGAATACACTATGAGGCGAATATGATTCGTATCACGAATATAGGGTAACAAATACGAATATTAATTCACGATTACAATAACAAATCAGCAGTTGATGTATCATTTGTTATATTCATTGAAAGAATAACAACAAATTATTTGACATGGTTTGTTAATTATTAACATGATTAATATATTCTACTTTTAAATACTGCTCTTATCCAGGTACTAGTATCTGATGAAATGTGACAACAACCAGGGACTACAATACTGTCAAATTAAATATGGTAAGAGTTTTGTCTTTGAAGAAATCTATGCATATAATATGTTCTTATGGATATTTTCAGGCACAGGGTATGTAAATGCACATGATTGCATATTCATAAATATTCGATTCTAGTGGCCACGAATAACGAATTCAATTCATGCATGGATACGGTTCGATTCACTGATTACACGAGTGAATTGGAACAGCCCTAGTCATACCATACTCATGTCTCTGTGGTTCAAATTGTAAGACGGCTTTTCAGTATATGCTTGAATGCCCAAAGGATAACAAGCAGACGTGCAACTGCTTGGTCACATGATATTGTGAACTAAGTACAATTTAGTACTATTGAGCTCAACCCTAGTTTTTCAGGTACCTTAAATCTTGAAATTAATGCAAGCGTGAAATAAAAGCGAAAATTGTGACACATACATATATATAAATCATGATGTTTACATACACAAGGTGGAATGATTGTACAACGATGACAACATGATGACAAAGCCAGTGACAAAGGGTTAATGTGCAAAAGGTAACACTATAATGATGATGCAGATGGGATAGGATTAATGTACAAAGACAACAATATAATGCCACCAATGATGGGAAAGGATTAAGATAACATTATAATGACGAAGCCAATGAGATTAGCAGGAGAGGAGAGGTGCAGTGGTGACAAGTATCTGGCTATTGTGATGCTTTCTTGAAGTTTCCTCTATTTCCAATGACTGATGTTGGTATGGAGTACCTTGGCCAGGAAATATGGAGGTCAGGATTTTTTATGAGATGTTCCGAAAGAACAGATTTCATATCAGATCTTGACCTCTGTTGAAAAATCTGACATGAAAGCTGTTGTTGGTTCAATTATTTTATTGCCTTTGACCTTCCTTAATGCCAGTTAACAGAATAAACATATAAACTGGGTGGTTTTTGTTTTTTTAAATACTGTTTATTGTGTTTACGGAAGTGCTACGCTCAGTGCTAATAAGCGGTGCTAGTTGCTGTTTGATTGGATTAAGGTTGGATTAAGGAAAGGATATGTATCATTCCACTGGGGATGGGAGGGGGAGAGTAGCATCAATATTTTGCTTAGGGTCAGCAGTTGTATTAATTTGGAGAAGCATTAATTTCAGGATTTACAGTTTCTAAAGCAAATTACATGGTGAACATATGTGTCAACATGGCATGATTTATCGCACTTAGTTGTCATTGAAGCAAATCTAGTATTGATTATTAAGTATTTTGTTTGTTGCATTACAGCACACTCAGCAATATTCCTGTTTTATGATGTAAGTCATTAAATTCCATGGGGTAGTCATAAAGGCAATTGATCATTTTCTTGGTGTTAATATCTTTACTGGATACAGGTTATCCAATAATATATAAATTGCCACACCCACCAACAGGCTACTGTTTTCTCATGGACTGATAATAGGATGGGCAGGGCTTGTTTTGCATTATCGGACTGAATGACGTCAATGGCTTTGTAATGTCTTATTATATTGTCTACAGTCTTATTGTTTTAATGATTAAATAAGCAGTCCGTCAAGTTATGATTGTTTACATATTTATTTAAAGAATTGGCTTCAATATGTCATTATCATGAGACATAATTTTCAGGGATATTTTACATTAATATAACAACAGAATAAATGTGCAATAATGTATTAGATTATATCCATATGTAAGTAGTGCATTTTCATTAATTATTGTCTGTGCTGCCATATATACTGAACAAAAAAAGTAAAGAATTATAAGATTTGGGGGATATTTTTATGAAAATTGTGTGCTCAGTCTTTACAAAAAAATATATCACCAAAAATATTCATCATCCCTTACTTAATTCGTTCAGAATGTTTAGAAATATTTACACTAAAACTTTGATGATCCATATCAGCTACTTAACAATCAGGGGACGGTCGGCTAGTTTTCAAACGAACTGGCCAACTGTATAACTCTTTTCAAGCATGTCTGTCAAGACCATTACTTGCCCCCTTATAAAACAGAAAGTGGGAATCATTTACTGTTGGCGTTTAGCCAAAGTCCAACAGGTAGGTCAGTCCCAGTTTGACAATATGGATTACATTCCCCATCAGACCAATTTCCCATACTGTGGCCTCTCAGCTTATGTTAATATAACTGTAGTATAGTACCGTACCAACTATGGTATAACACCATACAAACTGTAGTATAACACTGTACCAACTGTTATATAATACCATGTTGTATAATACCATACCAACTGTAGTATAATACTGTCGCAACCGTGGTATAATACTGTACCAACTGTAGTATAATACTGTACCAACTGTTGAATAATACCGTACCAACTGTTGAATAATACCATACCAACTGTAGTATAATACCATACCAACTGTCATGTAATACTGTAGGTATAATACAGTACCAACTGTTGAATAATACCATACCAACTGTAGTATAATACTGTACCAACTGTTGAATAATACCATAATCACTGTAGTATAATACTGTAGCAACTGTGGTATAACACTGTACCAGCTGTAGTATAATACCGTACCAACTTTTGAATAATACCGTAGCAACTGTAGTATTATACTGTAGCAACTGTGTTATAATACCGTCCAACTGTAATATAATGCAATCTTAACTGTAGAATAATACTGAATCAACTGCGTTATAATACTGTACCAACTGTAATATAATGCCAGCTGAACTGTAGAATAATACTGTAGCAACTGTGGTATAATACCATACCAACTGTAATATAATGCCAGCTGAACTGTAGAATAATACTGTAGCAACTGTGATATAATACCGTACCAACTGTAATATAATGCCAGCTGAACTGTAGAATACTACTGCAGCAACTGTGGTATAATGCCGTACTAACTGTAATATAATATCATCTGAACTGTAGTATAATACCATACCAACTAAGTATATTACCGTACCATGTTTTCCTCCCTCTACACCAGCTATACATTTCTCCAGACAGTTTCTTGTTGGGTTGCCACTGCGGGAATATTCAAATCCCTGTGAAAAGAATGTTTTAAGTCCTGTTATAAATCAATCTGATGAGAAGAAGAAATGTACATGATACCTTTGGCTGCATGTAAAACAAAACAACGTTCATGGATTCGTAATTAAGTGCAAAGTAAAGAATTGAAGAATTTAATATTGTCATCTAATCATTGATGGTCCAAGAGACTTTGCAGTATACAATATGTTAAGAAAAAAACAGAAATGAAAAAAGAAATATTCAGATATGACAGATCTGAGGTTATATTTATCTTTTGAAATACCTTGGACAAAAAAGTCAGAACGGATCCACATTTAGTCTGGCCTTGTAATAACGGGCAGAATAAAGCTTCAGAATAAATATGTACCAGTCGTCATAACCATGTTGAATAGATTGTACTTATCATTGCTATACATAGGGCCAATACCGGTAATACAAAATAGGAATGATATTCTGATTATGTTTCTGTTCCATCAGTCACCACCAGTTATCACATCACAGATCACAGCAACCATGGTATAATACCATACCAATTGTAAGATAAAATCATACCAACTGTTGTATAATACCAGACATATACCAGACATATGTATTTTTATATCTCATATCTAGCATTTAAGGCAATATAGGCCATGTGACAATTAATTATAGCTAAAATGGATAGAATTCTCATCAAACAGCATGCCTTATCAGAAATGAGCGGGCCACTGTAACCGGATATTGCCATCATATTGGTTGATGATGGGCTATCATCAAGCCCGTTGTTAGGCGACGTCATATTGATGTTCAATAGTGATGTCATCTGGTTTGTTCTATGACGTTTCCATGTTTGTAAAAGTGGGTCGGTGACATTCGTTGTGTGTTGATTGCAGTAAATGTTTAAAAACTGATGTTGTTTCATCTTATTTGATAACAAATTATATCCATTTTAGCTATAATAACGCTATTTTTCAGGGCATTATCATTTGCAGAAGCCCTAGGTCTTTTCAACAGCTCTCTTCCGTCGGGCAGTTAATGGAAGACATCAGGCTTCTGCAAATGATTATTCCCTGAAAAATAGTGTCACTCTTATATTATAGCTAAAATGGATAGAACTATCTTTAAACCGCCCACATGTTATCAGAAATGAGCGGGCCACTGTAACTTGATAATGCCCTCATATTGCTTGACGAAGGGCCATTGTCACGCCCGTTGTTAGGTGACGTCATAGGATAGGGATAGTGACGTCACGTTGAATACCGACGTCATCTGGTTTGTTCTATGACGTTTCCATATTTGTAAAAAGTGGGTCAGTGACATCCGTGTTGATTGCAGTGCATGTTTCAAAACAGATATTGTTGTTTCTTTTTGTTTGATAACAAATTCCATCCATTTTAGGTATAATAACGGTAATGCTCTTTTTTAGGGCATTATCATTTGCAGAAGCCCTCGGTCTTTTCATGGAAGACCTCAGGCTTCTGCAAATGATAATGCCCTGAAAAATAGCATTACCCTTATATTAGGGTATCTCAAAATATTAAAAGGACAAATAGTCTGTTTGATGGCTACTGTTAAAATTCAGTATAATTAGAATAATTAAACGTTTTGGATGTCTATTAAAAAATAATTGAATGAAAACAACATGATTTGTCGTCTTAGACACCAGAAAACACACAACCATATAAAACACATTTAGATGTTTTGTGTGCCCCAAAACGTGTCACTTTGTGTACATAACTGCTAAGAAGAAACTGTTCCAATTATGAAATGAGTTCTTTCTTGGTAATTATGTTAAGGGTGTGTTAAGGGTGTGTTACATATGTGCTTGTGATCATGACATCAGCAGATAATATTCTTTATGGAGGTCAAACGTTCCTATCAATATTTTTATGTGGCAAATAGCGGGATCTTAAATATGCAAGTCATTCTGATTAACACGAAGCTCACTCACATCAACCACATCTTAACAGCTGATGTCAAAAATCAATGTGATCAAGAATATTCATGAATGCTGAAACTTTGTGAAATGAGCTATGGACATATAGCATATTTTGTATGGCTAAGTCCCACATAATCAATATACGAGGATCATGCATCTATAGTAGAACGCAATGAATGGTCTCTAAGCCTAAGAATTTAACATAGTCTAATTCAGTGTAAAGATTCTATAGGTCCTGCTTTGTGACATAAATATAAGTCACAAACACGCTACGAGAAAAAAATCCACAAGTGATTTACTTCATTGATATTATTCGGCTGTGTGATTTGCAACACATAGGCATAGTCACTCGACGCCTCGGGATGACGAAACAGCTGAACCGAGTGAAGCAAGCTGGGTTGACAGGTGCGCGTCTGCTAGTTCAATACTCGTACTAATTACACTCACCGCGTGCTCGTTAGGTGCAAACTGCTTGTACGTTGAGGCATTGGATATCGGAGGAACTACAGCCATAGACTTCCATTGTTCGGGCTCCTGGCCAACGTGAATGGCGTCAGTTGCGAAGTGGGGAAAAGTTGACTTGCTGTCGTCGGCTGCCATGCTGGAGAAGAACGTCCTTGCCCTTTGTCAGGCTAAGGTCACAGTGCAACGTATCGGAAAAGTCCCAGTTCAAGTTATATTTTGATTGTTGTTGACTGTTTCCTTCACAGTACGTTGTCATAGCAACTACTAGAATGTTTTTACTAAACTGACAAAGAACAAATATGCGTAGGTCGGAAAATTGAACGCTCCATTGTGTTTGGAGGTGTGTCCTGCTGAATATTCATGAGTTTCTTTCGCGCGAAGCTGCGAGTGTAATATTGTTGGAAGTAGCAGTAAAATGAATGTGTAGATGTGTGTGCACAGGACCATATATATGTTACAGGAAACAAGTATAATCAGTGATTAAGTCTAATGACTGAAAATTTCAGTGATTATGTCTAATAACTGATTCACTCGATCGGTGGTTATGTCTAATTACTGAAATCTTCAGTAATTAGACATAATCACTAAATGAACCAAGGGATTTTATACTTGTTTACTGAAAGCATATCCCTGCCTTGTTTTTATAATGTGTGCTAGTTTTGAAATTAGATTAGCTATCAAAGTAAATACAACCTCCTGTAACCAGATACCTCACACAAAAATCACAGAAATAAGCTTAAACAGTTCAATCTTTTATTTCATAAAATGGTATGACGTGAATGGTATGACATGAATGGTGTGGCAAATAGCAGTCAGATGGACACTCAGGAATGTTTGTTTGCACATGAAAGACTTGAATGACATATAGAATTACATTGCATCTTGGCCTTAAAACATTTGCAGCGATTGGTCTGACACCGTTTAGTTCCAACACAATTACACCTTACAAAGCCTTGACCACCACAGACTGAGTCAAGTTGAACCGCTTGACGCAAAGAGAGTGTTCGATCGGTATTGAAATCGGTATTGAAACTGGACGAACTTAAGTCCTACAGTCCAATCACTGGTGTCATTGTTTCCAAGCCAAGAAACTAGAATGTCTTTAATGTCACAGTTCGCCCTCTCTACAGAACCTTGGCTTTGGGGATGTCGAGGCTTTCCGTTTGTTTACAGGAGATTGGCTTAGGACAGGACAGCCTTCTCACAAGTTATTATAAAAAGGCAGGGATATGCTTTCAGTAAACAAGTATAAAATCACTTGGTTCATTTCAGTGATTATGTCTAATTACTGAAGATTTCAGTAATTAGACATAACCACCGAGTGAATCAGTTATTAGACATAATCACTGAAATTTCCAGTTATTAGACTTAACTGCCATACTGACTTCAGAAAATGCGTGATTTCATAAAACAACAACATGAACATGCCAAAATGTCAGTTTACAAATCAATAGCGTGTGTGTCCACCTCTGGTTGCGATGAAAGCAACACATCTTCGTCTCATGGAATGGACCAGTCCTGTGGGATATCAGTCCATATCTGCTGGAGCATGTTTCGAAGTTCCTTGAGTGTCTCTGGAACACGTGGTTGATGTCGAAGGCGCCGATCCATCTTATCCCACATCTACTCGATTGGTGAGAGATCAGGGGAGCGAGCCGGCCAGGGGATGACATTCACGTTGTTTTGTTGAAGAGAATCCTGAACAAGTCGAGCGTTGTCATGTTGAAAGGTAATGCCTGGGCCATGACGACGCAAAAAACGGTAGAACAACAGGGCCGATGATCTCGTCGCGGTAGCGTTGTCCATTACAATTTCCCTCTACCACTATCAAACGGGTCCTCTGTCTTGCTGTAATCCCACCCCATACCATAACGCTGACGCCCTCGAACCGATCTTCTTCCATGACACAATGATTGACGTAACGTTCACCTCGACGTCGGTACACTCGAATCCGCCATCGCTGTGGCTGAGGTGAAAACGAGACTCGTCAGTGAATAGAACTTGTCCCCACTGCATGGCCGCCCAGCGTAGATGCTGTCTGCACCACTGTAGACGCTTGACGGTGGTTTTCTGTCAAAATGGGACGTCTCGCGGGTCTTCTGGCGACAATCCCTGCACATCTGAGGCGGCGACGTACGGTTTGTGAAGATATTCGTCGAAGTCCAGGGATGCTTCTTGCAGTCACTGTTGCTGGCTGGAATCGATTTCGTAGGTGTGTTGTTCGAATCCATTTGTCTTGTCGATTATTGGTTACGCGTGGCCTGCCACTCCGAGGATGGTCTCTGACTGCATTCGTCTGTTGCCAACGTTGCCATAAACACCAAATGGTGTTTCTGTGGACGTTAAATTATCTTGCAACATCACGTTGACTCGATCCTGCTTCAAGCATACCACCAATGGCTCGCAGACGCTCATTTTCGGACAGGCGTGGCATTTCGTAATGTTGAATAATTGCGTAATTTTGTTGTTTTTCTGAGTGGTTGTTGTCAGCACGATGCTAAACAGTGCATATGGAATCCCGTTAACACACATGTTTTTATACCCATTCTTGGGGAGTGAAATGCAATGGGCTTGCATTAAAGTCAACTTTTGCATGGAATGCATGCTTTTCTGTAGCAGTTGCGTTTTTGTGGCTTGATTCCATATATGTATTACGATATTGAAAACCAAACTTTACTTGTTTGAAAAATACACTAAAACATTGGTGTCACAGGAACTTTTGTTGTTGAATATATGTAATTAATAATAATAATAATTGAAAAAAACTCGAATACGAAGCCGTTGAATCTAGAAATGTGTATAGTAGCTGTTGTTAGTAGAGGAAAAAATGCTTGGTTTGGGGTTATAGCTTTCGCACATTTCACTACAACAGAATAATTATTTAAGATACCGGTTTTCTTTATAACATTCAAGTGTTTTTCAAAAGTCTCATTAACTGACATGAAAGCATTTCTAATTAATATAATTTATATAAATGAATCTTAATAAACTTTATTTTTTTGCTTTCTGACAGAAAACTCAAAGCCACCACCACTAAGTGTACTGTTATTTTTTCTGTTAAAAACAAACAAGCCGATTTTATTGTGCACACATGTATGAAGATTTACGTTTTATCTTCCATTTGCAATTGCAAAGCCCTAATGACACAGTGTACGCTTGTCTTTTCAGGAAATATATATTTTAGTCTTTATGATTGATATAAGTTACTAATAAATATGTATCTGTCCTGGATACACACACTTGAATTCACGTCGGTATATAAAGTGAAATAATCTTGAACGCCATGTTTAACCCCATTTAATCTCAGCTTCCCGACACAGACTGTCGTTGCACTAACCGTATCCCGTAAGTTGTTTTCGTCGCTGGTCGGACTAACGTTTTCCCACTGGGTGTTCGCTGTGGGATGGACTGACTTTGTCCCGTTGCTGGGTGTGTTCGCTGTGGGTTGAAATGACTTTGTCCCCTTGCGGGGTGTGTTCGCTGTGGGTTGTACTGACTTTGTTCCGTTGCTGAGTGTGTTCGCTGTGGGATAGACTGACTTTTTTCTTGTTGCTGGGTGTGTTCGCTGTGGGTCGGACTGAATTTGTCCCGTTGCTGGGTTTGTTCGCTGTGGGTGGGACTGACGTCCCGTTGCTGGGTGTGTTCGCTGTTGGTTGGACTGACTTTGTCCCGTTGCGGGGTGTGTTCGCTGTGGGTTGTACTGACTTTGTCCCGTTGCTGAGTGTGTTCGCTGTGGGAAAGACTGACTTTTTCTTGTTGCTGGGTGTGTTGGCTGTGGGTTGGACTGACGTTGTCCCGTTGCTGGGTGTGTTCGCTGTCGGTGGGACTGACGTCCCGTTGCTGGGTTTGTTTGCTGTTGGTTGGACTGACTTTGTCCCGTTGCAGGGTGTGTTCGCTGTGGGTTGGACTGACGTTGTCACGTTGCGGGGTATGTTCGCTGTGGGTTGGACTGACGTGCCGTTGCAGGGTGTGTTCGCTGTGGGTTTAACTGACGTGCCGTTGCTGGGTGTGTTCGCTGTGGGTTGGACTGCCGATGGCCCGTTGCTGGGTGTGTTCGCTGTGGGTTGGACAGACGTTGTCCCGTTGCTGGGTGTGTTCGCTGTGGGTTGGATTGACGATGTCCCGTGGCTGGGTGTGTTCTCTGTGGGTTGGACTGACGTTGTCCCGTTGCGGGGTATGTTCGCTCCGGGTTGGACTGACGTGCCGTTGCTGGGTGTGTTCGCTGTGGGTTGGACTGACGTGTCGTTGCTGGGTGTGTTCGCTGTGGGTTGGACTGACGATGGCCCGTTGCTGGGTGTGTTCGCTGTGGGTTGGACTGACGATGTCCCGTTGCTGGTTGTGTTCGCTGTGGGTTGGACTGACGATGTCCCGTTGCTGGGTGTGTTCGCTGTGGGTTGACAGACGTTGTCCCGTTGCTGGGTGTGTTCGCTGTGGGTTGGACTGACGTCCCGTTGCTGGGTGTGTTCGCTGTGGGTTGGACTGACGATGTCCCGTTGCTGGTTGTGTTCGCTGTTGGTTGGACTGACGTCCCGTTGCTGGGTGTGTTCGCTGTGGGTTGGACTGACGATGGCCCGTTGCTGGGTTTGTTCGCTGTGGGTGGGACTGACGTCCCGTTGCTGGGTGTGTTCGCTGTTGGTTGGACTGACTTTGTCCCGTTGCGGGGTGTGTTCGCTGTGGGTTGTACTGACTTTGTTCCGTTGCTGAGTGTGTTCGCTGTTGGATAGACTGACTTTTTTCTTGTTGCTGGGTGTGTTCGCTGTGGGTCGGACTGAATTTGTCCCGTTGCTGGGTTTGTTCGCTGTGGGTGGGACTGACGTCCCGTTGCTGGGTGTGTTCGCTGTTGGTTGGACTGACTTTGTCCCGTTGCGGGGTGTGTTCGCTGTGGGTTGTACTGACTTTGTCCCGTTGCTGAGTGTGTTCGCTGTGGGAAAGACTGACTTTTTCTTGTTGCTGGGTGTGTTCGCTGTGGGTTGGACTGACGTTGTCCCGTTGCTGGGTGTGTTCGCTGTCGGTGGGACTGACGTCCCGTTGCTGGGTTTGTTCGCTGTTGGTTGGACTGACTTTGTCCCGTTGCAGGGTGTGTTCGCTGTGGGTTGGACTGACGTTGTCACGTTGCGGGGTATGTTCGCTGTGGGTTGGACTGACGTGCCGTTGCAGGGTGTGTTCGCTGTGGGTTTAACTGACGTGCCGTTGCTGGGTGTGTTCGCTGTGGGTTGGACTGCCGATGGCCCGTTGCTGGGTGTGTTCGCTGTGGGTTGGACAGACGTTGTCCCGTTGCTGGGTGTGTTCGCTGTGGGTTGGATTGACGATGTCCCGTGGCTGGGTGTGTTCTCTGTGGGTTGGACTGACGTTGTCCCGTTGCGGGGTATGTTCGCTCCGGGTTGGACTGACGTGCCGTTGCTGGGTGTGTTCGCTGTGGGTTGGACTGACGTGTCGTTGCTGGGTGTGTTCGCTGTGGGTTGGACTGACGATGGCCCGTTGCTGGGTGTGTTCGCTGTGGGTTGGACAGACGTTGGCCCGTTGCTGGGTGTGTTCGCTGTGGGTTGGACTGACGATGTCCCGTTGCTGGTTGTGTTCGCTGTGGGTTGGACTGACGATGTCCCGTTGCTGGGTGTGTTCGCTGTGGGTTGACAGACGTTGTCCCGTTGCTGGGTGTGTTCGCTGTGGGTTGGACTGACGTCCCGTTGCTGGGTGTGTTCGCTGTGGGTTGGACTGACGATGTCCCGTTGCTGGTTGTGTTCGCTGTTGGTTGGACTGACGTCCCGTTGCTGGGTGTGTTCGCTGTGGGTTGGACTGACGATGGCCCGTTGCTGGGTTTGTTCGCTGTGGGTGGGACTGACGTCCCGTTGCTGGGTGTGTTCGCTGTTGGTTGGACTGACTTTGTCCCGTTGCGGGGTGTGTTCGCTGTGGGTTGTACTGACTTTGTTCCGTTGCTGAGTGTGTTCGCTGTGGGATAGACTGACTTTTTTCTTGTTGCTGGGTGTGTTCGCTGTGGGTCGGACTGAATTTGTCCCGTTGCTGGGTTTGTTCGCTGTGGGTGGGACTGACGTCCCGTTGCTGGGTGTGTTCGCTGTTGGTTGGACTGACTTTGTCCCGTTGCGGGGTGTGTTCGCTGTGGGTTGTACTGACTTTGTCCCGTTGCTGAGTGTGTTCGCTGTGGGAAAGACTGACTTTTTCTTGTTGCTGGGTGTGTTCGCTGTGGGTTGGACTGACGATGGCCCGTTGCTGGGCGTGTTCGCTGTGGGTTGGACTGACGTTCCGTTGCTGGGTTTGACCTCAGTCCGTTGTTGGGTGGGTCCCCTGTGGGTTGAACAGGACAGGAGGGACTGCAAGGGTGGTCTCCATCATATGATAGAAACAGAATCAGAAATAAATGTAAATATCATTCACCACAAATATTTATTTTGCCATCGAGAGATATGAAGAATGCAGGGCCCATTGTCCACATGTAAAAGGACGAGCCTAGGTTATGGAGAGTAAAACAGCTAGTCTCATATATTTCACCGTATTCGTGCTTGCGTGATTCCCCTGCAACCTTTCGAGTTGACTTGATTGGTTCAACTGTGTCATGTGGCCCTGTGACGCAGGGATAGCATTATGCAGATGGCTGTTACAATGAATGCTCGTTCCACCAGTGACGAACAGGTCTGGTTGTTGATGAAATATAGTGATAGCTAAATAGACAGATTTTTTATTCATGTCTTTAAATGTAATATCCAGTTATGTATGACTGTGTAATAATCTCATACAAACTTTGACTGGAGTAGGTCCAATAGTTTTTTAGATATTGTAGTAAACGTCGGTAGCTTAAATTAACTTTAAATAATACTGTCGGATCAAGTCAAGAAGGTATCCCACTGTCCACCATGTTGTTGGAGAAACAGACACGCGTCAGCTATATATATGAGGATAGCCAGCAATGAAAAGAACAATCCCTTCCCGAAAATGATTGGAAATAATAACTTGTCTTCAGCTTTTGCGCCCAAAATAACGCGTATTAAATGCTGGATGTCATTTAAATAATGTGTTGCGAGTCAAACACAACTTCAGAGAAATAAACATGCTTCGAACCGCAAGCGAACTCGCAAAATAATCTATCCATCAATAACTACATAATCAAAATCAGCATCAATCGCTATGGTCATACGATATGATATACCCGACGCTCAATGTGCATGCATAGTGAAAACCACTAGAGTTAGCAACAAATATTAGAAGAATATATTTGGCTAAACGGCATTTCGACGGAAACATAAAAGTTTACACTCAATACTCTCAACGGAGCCTTCAAACTATGGTGTTGCTTTGCCCCTTTACCTGCCAATAACTCGCCCGACACTTGTCATACATGGCATTTACATCCGGGTACTGTTAATACAAAGGGGGTAAAGGGTAACATGAAACATTTCAGTCGTGGGATTTTGTTCACAACGAACGCATTTTCCGCTTGTACAGATCCTACTTTCTTACTACAATGCATATATAGAAGACGACGTGTCAGGCTCAATTATACATCCGGGATCCTCCAGATGGGGATTTACATTACTGATTAAATAAATCTAAAAATAAGCACATTTCAAAATATTAGATTGTTTAAAGATATTATGGTTCCTAGGTGCATTGCAAAAACAAACAAAATACCAAATCTTATAAACGGTTCTCATTTATTAATAAATATCAGTATACACAAAAAATCTAAATATATTCAGTTATCATATTATAATAATTTGAAAGTAGAATAACAAATATAAAACAACTTATAAGAACAATATACAACGTACGTTGATGGACAGCACCTGACTACAGTTCATTCTTAACTGAACTGAACTTTATTTACGCTCAGGTCGAGAGCAGCGACATTAGAGGTAAAATTCAAACATTTATATATACAAAACTATAATAAGGGACAAGTTGAGACAATAACGATGACCAAGGATACGATACAGTCGCATGCATGATGTGGCAACTTGAAAAGAAGTGAGTGAGTTTGGTTTTACGCCGCTTTTAGCAATATTCCAGCAATATCACAGTGGGGAACACCAGAAATGGGCTTCACACATTGTACCCATGTCGGGAATCGAACCCGAGTCTTCAGCGTGAGGCTACCCGCCCCACTTGAAAAGGAAGATGTGAAATAATTATTTATAAATAATTGTTACAGGCATACACTCTATCATGAACATGTCTCGATGGCAAAGATTATGGCTTTGCTCGCGATATTTTGCACACCCCCCCCCCCCCCTGCCCGAGAAATCAAATGGTCGACCCGTAATTGTGAAGTCTCAATGCGATGATACCATTAGTTTACGGCAGATATGTCTTGACAGTACCAAGAATGTTTTGTCCACACACAACACAGTCATGCACAGTATCTGCACAGTCGGGGCACGTGACTAGATGACCACAGGGGAGGAACAATATGGCGGCGTCCTTGTTTCTGCACACCCTGCACGTGCGCTGTTCTCTTAGACGCTTGTTTTCGGTCAGAAGTAGACGAAGGGGATGTTTAGACGTGTCAGGTGTTTCTTGTACTGCAGTGACGACTTGGTCCGACTTCATGTACCCGCGTCCTTCTCCCTCAGAAGCAGATGTATTTGAGACGGGGGCCGTTTTTCTTTCCCCGGTAGGATGAGGAAGATTAGCATAGGAGTGGCCATTGATGGTCAGGTCTTTGAACAGAGACTCGGCATTACTGACTCTGCTTGCACTTCTCGGAGTACTTTCAATGTTTGAGGCACCTGTTGGCACGTGGCTAGCGCTTAAACATTCAAAGCTCCCAGTATTGCTTTGTCTTGCGGCAGTACTTTCAACATGGTTGACTACGTTTGAAGCGCCCGATGGTAAATGGAAGCCTATTGTGTTCCTCTCCGAAACCCCAAGATCGGACATGTCTGCTCTGTTGATGAACTCACATTCGGCAGAATAACGCTTATGTTCCGCGACAGCATCGTGTTCTGCTTCCCAATCTCGCAGAGTTATCCCGCACTGAAAACACGTGACCCGGTCAGCTGACCCGATGTAAAAGAACCCGGCTGTTGAAAGTTCTTCCGGAGTTTTCGGGACGTACTTTATGGGCCAAGCGACAAAGGATCCCAAACGTTCCAGGTACTCCTTATACTTGACATGTTTGGGAGGTCTCCCGTTGTGTGTCATGTTGTCCTGTTTGAAACTGTGTTTGAAGGTACTTCCTGACATGGTACTATACAGATGACTCATCAATGGCTGTTGGAAATCTGTAAAAAATACAATGATCTCATTAAAATCAGTTCTCGCTACCGCTAAACAAAGATCTGAAGACATCCCATTTGAGGTCACGTCAGAACGACCTTTCATCCGACCAATCAGAGCGTCGCTTACCAAATCATGAAAGTGACAGTCGGAATGTGATTTCTAATCATACAAACTCGAACACTTTAACACGGGGTATTCCGAACGATAGTTACGGTTTTAACGACAGGATCAATACAATCTAGACCATCTCTTAGCCATTCCAGAATGTTCTTTTGTTTAGGTTTCAAATTTGTAATCGAGAATTTGTCAAAATATGTTGCGAAGCGTAGTCGCCAATTTGAAATTAGTGCTGTAAAGCACGAGAAAGCTGCCTTCTGATTGGTCATTCCATTGGTCAGTCAAGGTTCGCGCAAGGTCGGTCTGACGTGACCCATAATGGGATGTCCTCAGATCTTTGTTTAGCGGTAGGGAGAACTAAGATCTGATTTTAATGAAATTGTAAAAAAAAATTATAAATATTTTAGAAACATCCTTCACAATGTAAAATGTCGAATTTTATTAGAATTGCAGAGTTAAGTGCCATATTTACATATTACGTAACATGCCCTTAGGAGTGGTTCTCAGGGTGTGGGGAAGAAGAAACAAACATTTCTGTAGCTCAGTGTGGACGGATGGTGGTGTAGGGTAGGGGTACGGGGTAGTTTTGAGATACAGGCCAAAAGACGACTAGGTGAGGTGAAATGGGTTTTAACGTCGTGTCCGAGATTATTTCACGTATATAGCGACGTCCATGCACGTGTGTGTGTGGCTGTTTGGACTAGTCCGGACTGATGCCGATTTATAGTGCTAGCTCACTGAGATACCATGCCGCAGTTTAACATGAATACCCCACTCAGACACAGTATACTGACTCCGAGCCGACCTGTCCTTGTTTTAGCCCCTTAATGCCGAGCGCCAGACAGGGTAACAACAAGTACCATCTTTTAACGCCTTTTGGTATGACGCGGTCGGGGATCGAACCCCGGACCTTCCGCTCTCCGGGCGGACGCTCTACAACTAGACCACGGGGGCGGTCCCCAAAATATGACTAAACTATAAAGCACAATATTTAATCTAAACTTATGTATATAAACTTTTGATCTTAAATTCGGTTTCGCAGCAAATACCCTGTACGTTTGTAGTTTGTAGTTTTAAGATGTAGAAAAAGAAGTTTATTCAGTATCAATACAATACATTAGATAACTTTTTGCACACGGACAGATAGGACAACTGTTATAATATCTCAATACAATATCTGTGATGCATTATACAGGCAGATTTCTTTTCAAATATATAGCAATATTTTTAATTAGCTTAACATTTTTTGTTGCTACTGGTTGATTAGATTTTGCTGGTGATGAATACTTGTAAGCGTAGCTTGTGACGTAGAGCTTTCTGTTTTCCATATCAAATGGACAAACTAAAAGGAAATGGTATTTATCTTCAGTAATATTAAGTTTACATTTCTTTCACTTATGTAATTCAGTACTGACTTTGTCATTGTAACGAATGTTGAATGCCCAACTTATGGCTCAAACATCGGAATTTAAATCATATGTGGAAAAAATCTTATGAAACGAACGCAAACTTTATTTACACAAAGGTCCCACTTACTGCCTTGGCAACGCACAGATATAGCAAAGGGTAGGTGACTTCATTTAGGCGAAGGGATAATAATAGAAGATAATAGAAGATGCAGATAAGGCCCAATAATGCGGTACGATGTACTGGATGGTTGTTACTGCAGTCCCCCGCCGTGATATATTGCTAAAAGCGGCGTAAAACCATACTCACTCACTCACTGGAACTACGTGATTGATTATGAGGATAAACTTATTATTTACAACATAGGCATTAGGACACTGTTATGAAGAAGCTTGTTCATTAGAAATTTATTTTTATTATTTTATTTATAGTATCACAGCAAAATGAAATTTCAGTTACAATGCCCGCTACAAAGTTTACATTTCCTAAAACATGTTACATGTGACTTTTTAAAACAATTTGGTTGAAATAATATTTTCCAGAATTATGGAACAATATACTTTTTGCATTTTATCCGCACAAGGCTATGACTGCTTTTGCTTGCGTTGGTAATGCACTAAACAATATTATTCTCTTAGTCAGTATACCTTTCTCGATCGGTTATTCGGATTGTCTTTGAGATTTGTGAGAATATTTTTTTCGGAGCAGATACGAAACACAGATTTTCAGAGGTTAAATGTGATGTCCTTTTTTATGAGTATAAATTAAAAAAAACCATGTAAACATGTTTCCTCAGAATACAACATATACTATTGATCATTTCTTGTCTTTCATTTAGACCGAACTGTTACCAATACATTGTACGTTTCCAATCAATATTTGTTTTTACAGATGTATTCCATGTTAGTGATTTTACAGTTCGATTTTATAATAGTACCACTAAGAAGTATATTTCATGATTATCCATTATAATAAAAATAATAATAATCAAAAAATAAAAATAAGATTAGTAGAAAAATCCGTCAACAATAATAAGATTAGTAGAAAAATCCGTCAACAATAATAATAATGGAAAAACTCGTCTACTCAAATACATACGTTACATCAGCTGTATTTCTGTATACAGAATTATTTCATAATATTTATACGAAAGAAAATTATGTAAATAGTACATAACCTGTCACTCTCTGTCTGAGCAAGACTTGAAGCTGGCTGTTCTTACTCTACTTACTTCGGTGTCAGTTGAAGTCATACAACTGGGTACATTAATTGAATACCCGCGGATATTTCAGTGAATGATGAAAATATTACCAATCAGTAGTTGTAGCTATTTTAAACATGTTAAAATGGACCGAATGTCGTAACGTCCCGCAATCGTTACGTCACGGTCTATTTTAGGAACGGGGATTTCCCACAGTTGTCGGCCATTACTGGAAACTTAACACATCGTAGCTTTTTCGGTTGAATTAAAAACATGGGAATGTGTGAAGGGAAATTCGTAAATCATGTAAGCTTTAGCTATTACTATATACCGGCAGGGGTTTTCTAAAGGCCTGCCCTGTTATGTTAGTTATTCCTTCAAAATCAGGACGAACGCAGGAGTGTGTTTGAGACACGTTTATTCTTGAGGGCTACATCAGGACAACTCTGGTTGTCTCCCTTTGTTCATACCACTACATCTCTCCTTCCAGGAGAAAGCAAGTTAACAATACTGTTAACTTTCAACTGTGCCTGGACAATGAAACATTATAATGCATATAAACAAAACAAATCAACATTCACTCACACAACACAGCTTTAGCATACCCATGGCCTTAGAGTTACAGAATAATAAATCTCTCAACCATACCCAATGAATATTGACTCACTTGTCAAACTTTATATGAGAGAAAGTCTTAGTATCTATCTGGCTTTCTTAAGACTCTGCCAGATCGTGTTATGTAAACTGAGGAGTCATTTGTTTGTTTCAGACATGGATGAGGTATTGGTTCAGGTGAGTGTTCTTTTCAGGCACATTCGGAACTTGTTTTTCAGGAACATTTGGTGACAAGTTAATGTCAGGTCTATTCCTCCTATAGGTTCCGTCGTCAGTCTTTACGAGGTAAGATCGAGGACTTAGCTGTTTGGGCACAGTACCTGTTTCTTTCCTGTCTGGTACCCATGCATGCACCCTCTGGTTGTCTCCCTTTGTGCATACCACTACATGCCCGAAGTTGTGTGAACAGATTTCCCGTGTCCGGAACATATACGATACTAGTATATATTTGTACGTGTTCGTAGTATGGGTTTAACGTCATTGGGGCAATATCATGTTTTATGGACCCAAGAAAGTGATATTGATTAAAGCCGAATTGTGTTCAATAATTGTTTTATTACATACTCTAGGAAACAAACAAAAATCAGTAAGTTTTCAATAACCAACAAATTCAACAATAACTGAAGAAAGTGACAGGAGATGCAACACGCTTTTCGTTACGCTTTCGCTGATTGGCTGAACATTTTGCTCTCCTTTGAGCCCATTGGCTAAATCACTTTTTTTTAAAGAAGGTAATGTAACCCTTTCTCAACCAATGAAATGACAGATATATTTTGTAAATGTCAAAACAAGTAAAATATTTCAGGGTGGTTTTATCATATTATATTGTTAAGTATTGGCGTCGATACAGCAATTAAATATTCGAGTACTTGACTCAGTAAGTATGGTTTTACGCCCCTTTTCGCAGTATTCCAAGAATATCAGGTGACACCACAAATTGGCTTCACACATTAAATTGTACCCATGTGGGGAATCGAACCCTGGTCTTCGGCGTGACGAGCGAACGGTTCAACCACTAGGCTACCCTGTCATCCCCAATTAATTGTTTGAGACAATGCCTTTATTCGAATCACTGTATTTCTTCATCGAGACTTTTACTCTTTTACTCATTTCGAGATTCAGCGAATGAAACTGTTCATGTTGTTTGGGTCTGGGCGAGGCAAACCAATGGTTGACACTACACAGCGTTGTCATTGGTCTTTTGCCTTCGATGATACACTTTACACCAGACCGCATTTTGTGAGTTTGATCTTCATTTACGTTTTGGAACTAGTATACGCGTACTTCGAATTTGATCTGATCGAGAATCCAGACGAACTTGGGATAGGCTGTCGCATGAGTGATTACCAGTTGAAATAATTCGATGAACCGGAAGACAGTACATCTCTGAATGAGCTGAAGGAATAATAATAATAATAATAATAATAATAATAATAATTATAATAATAATAATTATTCTTCGGTTTCGATTCAAGGATTTATGATGATGATGATTATGGAAAGAGTTTTGTCGCTTTTATTTACCTTTCGAGTCTATGTAGAAAGGTGTATTTCTTGTCAGCTATGCTTTTGACAGAGCAGATATGTTATTACGAATGATAGACCGTAACCAGAAAAGTACCCCGATAGTAGGGAAAAATGGACGAGGAAGAATTATATATATTAGCCTAGAGAGGCTTCGATGATAGGGGATGGGGACGTCCAAGATGCACACTAACAATATTTTTGACATACAGTAAACTACTTTTATAACGAACACGCTTATAATGAACAGACGGATATAACGAACTGAATTTTTCCCGACCGTTTGCTGTACATATGCTGTATATATATTTATAACGAACTAAAATTACTGGTCCCTTTGAGTTCGTTGTAAGCAGTTTAGTGTATTAACTGTATCTGATACTGGGATTCCCCACCACTTAGCTGGAATGTTATCAGCCACACTGCTTGAGATACCGGGCACCCACTACCGCAGATCAAACACCTCGAACTAGAAGCAAGGTACCAGTTTTTGTCCAACTATTACATTTTGTTACGAAAGGAAACATGACCCCCAGGCTATGTAATGTGTGTGAGGGACAGGCCCGGCCGCACCTTGTTCTTATTTCCGATCACTTGTTGTTTGTTTGTTGTTTAACGCCGCACTCAGCAATACCCCAGCTTTTTGACGGCGGTCTGTAAATAATCGAGTCTGAACAAGAAAATCCAGTGATTGATATCATGACCATCGATCCACGTAATTGGGATACGATAACATGCATCAACCAAGTCAGCGAGCCTGACCACCCGATCCCGTTAGTCGCCTCTTACGACAAGCATAGTCGCCTTTTACGGCAAGCATGGGTTGCTGAAGACCAATTCTTACCCGGATCTTCACGGGCCAGTATCATATGTACAGCTGTTACTGTCTCGACCTTTGAACATTCCATTAATGATCAGGAAAGCATGCGAGAATATTTCCCAAAACATGTACGCAAAGTAATCTTATTTTGGGGAAAATACCAAACAATGAAATTTTAAACTGTTTTGTTGAAGTGTTATATCTATAAGTGTAGGGTAATATATGTAATCATCAATGTCTTTTATTATTCTGATCGAACATTTACATACTGGTTTTAGGACCCCTAAGAATGAGCATAAAGTCTGGCAGTTGCCAATGACTTTGTTTTTGTTGGAAACAAAAAATCTCTGTTATTTTGTTGCATTGTAGGTGAGGTGAAATGGCGTTTAACGTCGCGTCCAAGATTATTGCACTTATATAGCGACGTGCATGTACGTGTATGTGTGTGGCTGCTTGTACTAGTCCGGACTGATGCCGATTTATAGTGCTAGCTCACTGAGATACCATGCCGCAGTTTAACATGAATACCCCACTCAGACACAGTATAGTGACTCCGAGCCGACCAGTCCTTGTTTTAGCCCCTTAATGCCGAGCGCCAGACCGGGTAACAACAAGTACCATCTTATAACGTCTTTGACACGGTCGTGGATTGAACCCCCGACCTTCCGCTCTCCGGGCGGACGCTCTACCATGAGACCACGGAGGTGGTCTTGTTGCATTGTACCTGCAGCTAAATCCAAATGTCCTGCATTTGAAACCACACTGCTCACTGGTCACCTTCATGTTAGTGATTATGATGTGCCTGCACGGCAGACAGGGTCGCCAAACACTTGGGATATGTCATTGTCAGAATCATTTCAAGAAGGGCGCTATGAGTTGTTAAGGAAACAAAAATGGCGGTTTCCGTTAGATATATCAAAAGCTTCAAATCGGTGATCAGTTTAATTGCTTAGCCTCTGATCTGCTTCGTGTGACGTATGTGTGTAGAAATTACACGAAAACCTTTATATTCATGTGACTATATGCTTTGTCGAATTCATTTCACGTTAGAGAAAACAAAGGAAAAATTAAATGCTTTTTGGTAGTATTTAGAGTAAAAGGTTAGAACCACTTTGTATACTCATAGAACTAGAAAACGTAATGACTTATGACAATATGACTTATTTATTAAAGCAAGAAATCTTCATCAAGTAAACTTATACAACATGTACACATTTATGAATTGTAATTGGAATATTTGACATGGCATATGTAACACTCATCAGGTACTACGAATACATATCCGATACACTCGACCTCGTTAATCCGGACGGTACCGTTCTAAGCTAAATCGTATGGATTTACAAACTCTGGATATGAAGTAATGTCCACTTAGAGCTTCACTGTATCCAAAAGATGTCCAACATTACATGCAGTCATATATTCCTTCAGATGGTATAGTGAGTATGGTGGAACGCGGCTTGAACAGTTTTCCAGTTCTATCACGGTGTTTCAGCTTCATATGGGAGAAATAACAGAAGTATTGTAGGTCCTAGACGTTAACCACTTTCGTTTGAACCCACGATCATAGGTTTCTGGCACGCCCAAGGGACGCAACTCTGATCGGTGATTTGGAGAGTCTCATATGACTGGGAGACCCGTGCCCCCTTAACAGATTACTGGTCCACGAGGACAGTGAGTGAGTGAGTGAGTATGGTTTTCCGCCGCTTTTAGCAATATTCCAGCAATATCACGGCGGGGGACACCAAAAATGAACTTCACACATTGTACCCAGGAATCGAACCCGGGTCTTCGGCGTAAAGAGCGAACGCTTTAACCACTTGGCTACCCCACCGCTCCTTACGAGGACAGAGTAGGATGAGTATGTTTGGTTTAACACAGCATTGAACAGCTTTTGAATGGGAGGAAAGTCCAGATCGTCAGTGCAGTGAATACAGCTGAAGCTAACAAAACACCCCTGGACATTATACAGATGGAGTCGACAGTTCTTCGGTGACATGGTCATCCTTGACTATGCCACCTGCTGATGAAGCCCCAGGGGCAGCATCATCACCCACAACGGTTGGATCCTCTACAGGGGGATACTGATGACCCACTTCGTCCAGGTAACTCTTCAGCTGTTCCACAAACGCAAAGCCTACATTGTCGTCCTGCACAGAGCACCTGGGAACGGGATACAAAATGAGACGGATTTGCTAACACGCCAAAGGGTGACTTTAATGCCGCTTTTAACACACGAAAACATATTACATGACATACCAACTGCAGACAATTAATAAATAAGAAAAATATTTACAAACATCAAATGCCAAGTGAATACTATCAGTAAGCAATACTATAATCATTAGATTATAAGTAGCTGACTGAAATTGACCGTATTGATTAATTAATCTACCAGATCAGGAGATTAATGTATGTGCAGACTGAATTATTTATGTATTCCTGAGCAGATGTTCCACCCTACTATGTAAAGCTGTGATATTCCTTTGTATAATAGTACATATTATTTCTAATAGCGGAGTAATTTCATGACATAAATAAGAAATGAATGGTGTGCGACACAAGAGCGGGATGGGTAATTTGAAGTGAATCTGCTACAGTGAGTCCAGAATGTATTACTTAGCAGAATATGTTTCACAAATTGAGATCGAATCCAAATTTATGTCCTAATTAGTGATGATAGTAGTTGTTCGCAAAAAGATGACGTAACCTTCCCGAGCGGTGGCACACGTCACAAACACATGCAAAGGCAAGTCAATTGATCATGTATCCAACAGTAGGTAATAAAGCATTATAATATCTTGCCTGTCTACATGGGCCAGTTATTAAGAAATATCTGTGAAATCAAAAGGTAGAAATCACCCCAAGAGCATCTTCCCGAGGCAAAGGATTTAACTGACTATAAAAGTCCAGTTACCACCCTTGCCGATCTAGGCAGGAATAATGGAGTTACAATTTGACTGAACTAACGAGTCTATGTCTAGTCCAATCAAAATCGCGTAACGAAATCGACATCCGGTTAATAAACAACATAATGACTGCCGTGCAGATTTCGGTGGACTGCAGGACTTGCATAGCACGCGTGCCGTTACTTGGGCGCCGACAGATATTTTCCTTATTAATCACTATAAAAGTTCTGATGTTTGCGAGACAAGTAAAAATTTCCTGTTCCAATAGATATCAATCATCGTGCGGGATGAATATGTAACAAGTCCAGTGGAGATGGGTTTGTGGATTTAAACATCACAGCATCTGTGTCCCACACTAATATAGATTTGTTGATCAGCAGATACTACTTACCATTCGGCTGTAGTATTTCTGCACCAGTCCTGTACCTCAGTGAGTCCAAGCTCGCCAAGGCATTTGTCTAGTTCCTTGAAGAACTCTATATCTGACTGGTATCTCGTCTTGGCTTGCAGTACCATCTATAAGTATACGGTAAAACGTATGCATGTGATACGCTGTGATACATCTCACCTGTATGTTGACATTTCAAATATTGACTGAATTTGTATATAATTTTTATTGTCTGTAGAATAACCTTTTTTGGCAGCCTCATGTTTGGTATTAAAGAAAAATCACTGAAAAGACCAGGGCCTTTACTATTCTAGAACGCAGATCAAGTAGCTCCTATGCATATCGCCCATATTAGTGATGTAATGAAGCTGTTAATTCAAGGTTACCGTATTCGACGTAATAAGCGCCTAGGGCGCTCCCAAAATTGGAAATAGGGGGCTCTTATTAGAATATTATTATAGTGAGAGAAAAAACAGTTGAAAGACCGTAAATTTCGTGGTTTATGCTGACAGCCTTAAATGATACAAAAGAAAAGTCGGTGCGTGTTATACACGACAGATATATTTTCCAGAATGTAATTGCCCATAATTAAGGGTGCATAAAACACACGAAGGCGTATCATACACTAATAAAAATGTCTTGTGTACATTGATAAATCGGAAGGGGTGCTATTTGGGATTGTTCACTAGCCAATATATTAACAAATATCGCCTTGGGCGCTTATTAGAGCGGAGCGCTTATTACGTCGAATACGGTAATTCTGTTAGTCTCACCAAATATTTCAGGAATGGTAGCACAATTGCAATTATAATAAAGAATGACCACACACGATCATTCGAACATTTTGGTTTTGAAAAATATATTTTCTTACCTCAAGCATTTTGCGTTCTGGTGTTGGGTAGAAACGCGTGTCCTCTTCAATGTTGTTAATCTGCGGTGTAGGAAGATCGAGACGATGGACAAGGGCCTTTTCCATGCCGACCTGCTCGACCAGACTCATCATGAAGGCAACAGACAGCGGCTCCAGGTCACCTGTGTAACCCAATGTTGAATGTCAGAAGAACGTACACCTCTAGCCCTTTTAACTTTTTTTTATCATTATAGTATTGCAAATGGTGCAGATCCCGTAGGGGATTGTAGGTGTCAACTTGGTTTGTCAAGTTTACAATGCAAGGTAAGAAGGTTGTGTTTAACGCCGCCATGATCAATATTTCTGTTACATCACAGCGTGGAAGCCAACTGTTGCAGGGAAACCTGAAGCGGTGAACGTCTCAGACGTCAAGCAAACGATCACAGGTACGTTGATGAAATACCAAGGCTCATAGTCGGGGCGAATCTGGGCATACAATCCCTTCAAACGAACGCAACTCTGCACAGCCTAAGATCATTCCCTGAACATTTAGGATACATTGGTGTTTTCTATCATATTTACAGACATTTGTTTACTCTTGACAAGTGGCGGTCGGGTAGCCTAGTGGTTAAAGCGTTCGCTCGTCACGCCGAAGACCCGGGTTCGATTCCCGACATGGGTACAATGTGTGAAGCCCATTTCTGGTGTCCCCCGCCGTGATATTGCTGGAATATTGCTAAAAGCGGTGTAAAACATACTCACTCACTCACTACTCTTGACAACTCTAAGGAAACGACATTAAATATTAATTAATAACACACCCAAAACGCCATCTCACCTTTAGGGATTATCCAGTCCTCGTTTAAAGCTGCTCTCAGCCAGGTACAGAAACTATCATCTCTCGTCTTGTGTTTCTCCATCCTGTAGCATATACATTCAACCACAATGATGATTGCACATTTCTTTAATATATAATTTATATATGTTTGCACAAGAACACGCCACAAAGTTGCAATACATCTTCCTATGAAAGCATAAATTACACAGTCAAGTGACATGCACTTAAGCTGACTTACAATGAACGTCCTTGCATTTCAGCCATTTCAGATCAGTTACCATCTTCATATGAGCTTTGTTACCTAAATTCCCCGAGGTTTTGGGAAGTTACTGTTGACCTTTACCACCAGGACTCAGTGTACCTTGCTGGCTGTGATAAGCATTTAGGAATCTTAAACTAAGAGGAAGCGAACTGATACCATGTTTTCAGTTCTTGCATGACAAGCTCCTCGATGTCATTCCTTCCAACCTTCCTCAGTGCCATAGTGAGATTCCTGACACCCATATCTTGTCTGTATCTGCAGTTTTCTCGCCACAGTATCAACATCTGACATACAAAATAAACAATGCCTTGCATGATCCAAATTGTGAGTGAGTTGGGTTTAACGCCGCTTTTAACAGTATTCTAGTCATATCACGGCGTGTCTGCTTAATGTGGGAGGAAAGCCCGAAGTGATGCAGGTCTCAGACGTTTACCACTTCGGTGAAACCCACGAGCACGGGTATGGTGCTGACAAACCTAGAAACATAATCGGGGCGAACCGGGATTCGAACCCACAATCATCGGTTTCTGGCGTGCCCAAGGGACGCAACTCTGCAAAGCGAATCGCGGAGCCTTAGACGACTGGGCCACCCGTGCCCCTCATGATCCAAATAAATGTTGTTAGGATGTATCTCTGAAATGTCATCAACACAAACAGAACCTGAACATTTGTATATGTCTTCTCTAATCTTTAAATGATTGTCGAAAGATCGTTATCTGTCTCGTCCAGTTAAAACGGTTATTGACTAATATGTTAAAGCCTTATGGCCTATATTTCCAGCTAGTGTAACCTACAAGTTAAACACAATACAACAAAACAGTTAACCTTGTATCCATTCACTTACCCACTCTCTCTATAAGTGAGTGACTGTTGTTTTACGCCGCTTTTAGCAATATTCCAGCAATATTACGGCGGGGGACACCATTCATGGGCCCCACACATTGTACCCATGTCGGGAATCGAAACCGGGTCTTGGGCGAACGCTTTAACCACAAGGCTACCAGACCGCCCCTCTCTCTTTAAAGATGATGCATCAAAAAGATTTTTGTACCTTCAACTTCTTGTCTCCCTTGACCTCATCAGAGTTATCAATAATACTCTTCGCCAGACCCAGGTGAATTCCAAGCTTGTACCATTCACCAGTCAGTTCTTTGGCTATTTTCTCCAGAAAATTATCACTGGTAAAACCTTTAAAGAAAATTTGAAGCTTTTCATGACACCAATAAAGAAAAACTCGAAACAAAGCATATAATTTTCTTCTCTGCTTTGTTTTGCAATATATCGCATAATGTCCTTATATTTAGAATTTTGTCACATGTATTTAATATTATGATTATGGAAAGACCTTTGACGTATTTTTTCAATACATCTTTTCTTACAGTGACTATTGGTATATCATTCAAATGAGCAAACTCCATCAAAACTTGAATTAGAAAAAAACAAGCATCACAGATAGCTTTTCTAACAGCCTTACATGTAGTGCAAATGTCATACAGACAAGCCATTACAGGTATATTGGCAGACAGTTTTACTCAGTATTAGTGACATTACCCTTAAAACTGCTGTCATGTTTGGCATCTTTCAGAGACTTCTTCTTCTTGCCATCATACCCATCTAAGTAAAGAGTAACTTGTCCGAACTTCTCATCTTTGGCATTATCAATACGTTGATCCCGCTTCTTCGTAATATCCACGAAGGCTTCGCTGCTGTCAGACGTAAGTCTGTGTAGTGGAAATATCTGAACATTGTCATCTTTTCTTTTTGGGTGAAATTCCAATAATGGTCCTGTTAAACATTCTGCTGCTCCTGAGATAGAAAACTTGAACCCAGTTTTGGGGATTATATCATGCTCATTTCTTCCCTGTGTTGGGTAACTGGGCTTCTGGTCATCAAACCCTTCTGTTTTCCAGAATGTGACACGCTTATCTGCATCTTTCATTGTACATTCAACTAGAGTTTCATAACTGTCAATTTCATTAGCTCTGAGCATGACCACAAAGGAGACTTTACATTTCCTTTTCTTGGCTTTATCATATAATACTGCTGCTGCCTTCTTAACCTCTGTCTCCTGTTTCCTTGTCTGTTTAAGCTGCTTTTGTCTTGCTTTACCTTTAGTGCTGCTGCCCTCTACAGAACTGCGTCCAGATGGGGTTTGGGAAAAACGACCTTGACTGCTTCTAGGAGATATCATAGCTTCTTGTTTTCTGGGTATTTTCTGTGAATGTATGGATAGTTTCGACTTCACACTGTCAACAGATTTGTCACTCTTAGCTATGGAAATCTGGCTGCCCTTTAATGATGACTTAGTGACGTGGTTATTGGAAGTTATGGCTTTGTTTGACGATTCTTTCTCTTTTCCAGATCCAAGACTACTCAAGCTGCCCATACGAGAATCAACATGCTTGTTTCCACCAGGAAATTCTGGTTTTCCTACTTGCATCTCCTCCAAACCTGATCTTGGTTTGACTACAGATGTTGTACTCCCATGTAGAGGGGAACGAGTTCCTGACATTAAATGGTAACTGTCGGTATCCTTTGGTACTTCCTCACTCCCAACAGACTTTCCAGAATGGGGTGTTTCCGCAGGTGGTTTCTCTTCCTCGTCTGAAGCAGCTTTAGGTCGCACCTGTCCCTCAGTACCATCTGTTTCTTTCTGCTTCTCTAGACTGGCCACTGACTTCATGCTTGTGGTATCAGTATCATTTTCTTTTGCTCCTATCGTTCCTACATCTTCAGATCTTCTTGAAGGTTCTTTCATATCTGTATCATTTTCCTGCTTCTCTAGACTGGCCACTGACTTTATGCTTGAGGTATCAGTATCATTTTCTTTAGCTCCTATCGTTCCTACATCTTCAGATCTTCTTGAGGGTTCTTTCATATCTGTATCATTTTCCTGCTTCTCTAGACCGGCCACTGACTTCATGCTTGTGGTATCAGTATCATTTTCTTTTGCTCCTATCGTTCCTACATCTTCGGATCTTCTTGAAGCTGCTTTCATATCTGTATCATTTTCCTGCTTCTCTGGACTGGCCACTGACTTTATGCTTGTGGTATCAGTATCATTTTCTTTTGCTCCTATCGTTCCTACATCTTCGGATCTTCTTGAAGGTTCTTTCATATCTGTATCATTTTCCTGATTCTTGCTATTTGTATCTAAGTCGGACATTTGCCTAGTGTTATCACCTACGTCTTGTTCTTGCTCGTTAGTATCAGTCTTTGTCTTCTCTGGCTCTTCGGTGCTCGATGCCTCCTTCGGAATAGCAGTATCCACAAAAGCTTCCTCCATGTTGTTCCGGTCAGCTGGGTTTTCTGTGTCTGATTCATCACCTTTCTTTTCTTCACCTTCATCTTTTGCTGCATCATCCAAACATTCGTTTCTTTCCTCTTCCACAATCGAGGAACCAGTTCCCTTTGAATTGTCTCCCTCAGCTGATGATTTTCCCTGTTGGCTTTCATTTGGTGGATCATGTGTGGCACCTTCATTAGGTGTCCCAGTCTCAGTCTGTGTATCAGGGATGTCCAATTGGTTTTCATCCCTCCCACTCGTGCTGGGAGACTCATCTTCTAGTTTGCTTTGCGGTCTGGTGCTTGTATCAATAACTTCGTTAGGACCATCTCTTACGACTGGTGATTCTTTAGGATGATGGCTTACAACTGGGTCAGATCTCGGTTGTTTTGTGGACACCATTCCATAGCTGTTAAAATAGGTTTGTTATATACTCTTCCAATTACAAAAAAACTATTCCACAATATAAATATTTACATATTGCATCATCAGTAAAATGAAAACCCGTAACAACTAAAGTCTCAAGATCTGGTATTGAAAACAGAGTTATGGAGAGAAAACGTGGATGCCATCGCCAAACCACGAAACGTTCATTTGAGAGCAAAGTAATGGGCCTACCAATTTGTTCAGGTATATATTTACAATATATGTGTCTTTCTCCTAGAACTAAACTTTTTGGGCAATTTTACCTGAATTAGGAGGGTAATATACAAGCAATTGGGAGAGTTGCAAGAAAATTATGTATACTTGTAAAAGTTTTATTCTTGTGCAGTCATGGATGAAAGGTCAAATGCCTCCCATATCACCCGTACCTCAGTCGAAATATCGATAATAGTTTTTTCACTGACTTACCTACAAAAATGTGTTGCCTTGAACATGACCTTTCCCTGCGTCACTTTAGGATTAACACAGACAATTTCCCACAGTGACAGCTCTGATTCATCTTCCTCTTTGTCTCGTCTGTTCAGCACATAAAGGTCCCCGCCGTCTCCCATGTAGTCACGTGGAAGAGGTAACGTGACTGTGACGTCATTCTGAGGCTGTTCCTTGCGTGTGTGATTAACGTCGTAGAAGTTGGACACGGATGCGACCTCAATTGTCTCCAATCCCAGGTCCTCGTTGTCATAGGCAGGTCGTGGGATAAGCTGCACAAAATACCCCAAACTATTAATTCATGCAGCCATGGATTGGTTTGGCCAAACGATTCATGAAAAAGAAAGAGTGTATATGATTAATCTTCTACATATTACATGCTACATTTTATCTCGACTGATTTTCTTGTAGTTGCTGGCCATATTTTGTATCTTTGTTGACAAGTGAAAATCTGTAACATTTGAGCACCATGGTAACCTACCTCCAGTGATAAACTTCCTTTGTCTGAGAAAGATTTTGAAGGAATATCAAATTTGATGAAATCGTCGACTTCGGAAACAAACTGTCCTCCTCGGGATCCCACGTTGAAGTATTCCACTCTTGGTCGGGTCACCAGCAAAAAGGCGTTGATTTCCTTCAGGTCGATGTCCACACTGCAAATCCACTGGTTCTAGATCATCAAATAACAACATCATAGGTAGTTATTGCTTCCTGGTCATTGCTTCAGTTCAGCCATAGTGTTGTACGCCGTCGTATGGCACGAGTACTTCTATGCCGCGTCAGGCAACAAAGAAACGCTTCCTATTCTTTGGATGAAATCCATAAATAGGTCATGGGCCAGTGACCATGATTAGATTGTGTGGTGAGAAATAAGACCATTGTCAATAAGAAACCATCAGAAAAAAACAACTAGTCAAACATAACTGATATATCTTTTAGTAATTTTGTTTTCTTTGTGTCCATTATTCCTTCACATATAGCTTTAGGTTAGTCCATAGACAAGGAATCAAAAAATCTAAATTGGAAGCTCAAACATATTTTTGATAGAAGGATATGTCTCTTAATAACATATTATTGCTATACTCATACCGAGTTCTTGAGACGCTCGTAGTCAGTAAGCTCTTCACTGTCTTCCCTCAGGGTATGTTTCATGTTTGTTTTGATGTGCACTTCTTCGTACGGCTCCGGTTTGTCATACATTGGGATGTACACTTTGACCTTGCCCTTGAACTGTGACCCGGATATCCGGAATTCGAAAGTGTCGCTGATGAGAAGTTCTGACTTAATGGGCCCCAGAAATCTAAGGCTGTACTCTGGCCTAACTCGTCTACAAAGAAAGCAGACTGGTGACTTGGAAAACAACTTAGGCGTTTGCACTGCTAGACCAATGCTATCAAGGTCCGTGCGACTGTTATCTATCAATGTTGTGCGTTGAACGGTGATGTACCTGTAAAAAAAATAAATAGTCTTCAGTATTGTTATCAAAGAAAACGCGGCAAACCTCTTTCCATGGTCATAACAAAATCTCGGCTGAAGGTAAAGTCCATTGTACGATTCCGACTATATCATGAACTTGTGTTTATGAATTGCTATCAAATAGTGATGATACCATGTGTTTGCGAAAAGGGGAGCGTATACTGCCCCACCAGTGGCACCCGTCACAAACAAATGGAAAGGAAGTCCTAGCGAGAGAACGATTTAATGGGGGACACAACGGTAAGTGTTTTTTGCATCTTCCCAAGGCAAGAGAGTTAACTGACTTTAAAAGTCCAGTTTCCACCCTTGCCGAACTAAGCTTGAATTACTGGGCTCGATCGTAGCGCCACCAGTGGCTATTACCAGTTATGTCCCTTCTAAGCCTCTCCTATGGACCAATCAGATTCCACCTCTCGTATCACTTGCGTTTGCTTCACAGAAAATGGTGTCGCCCAGTCAGGACGATCAGATCGATAATCAAGATCTATATTGTGATAGAAACTGGTCTTACATCGCGAAATGCATCAAATCACGTGAGCACCTTGATTAAAAACATGAAAAGATTTGGAAAATATCTGTTGACAACGAGTTGGCGGTGCACATGCTTTGCAAATACTGCAATCGACCGAAATCTGCACGACAGTTGACGAACCGGATTTCGATTTCGGTGCGCGAGTTTGATTGGACTATGCATAGACTCGTTAGTCCAGCCAAAATGTAACTCCATAATACCAGCCTAGTTCGGCAAGGGTGGAAACTGGACTTTTATAGTCAGGTAACTCTTTTGCCTCGGGGAGATGGTGTATTTGAAGAAATGATTGTAGTAATAGTATCAAGGTAATGTTTATTTGTTTGTTTGTTTGTTGTTTCAGCTATATGGCGGCGGTCTGTCATAATCTAGTCTGGACCAGACAATCCAATGATTGACATCATAAACATCGATCTACGCAATTGGGATACGATGAAATGCATCAAGCAAGCCAGCGAGCCTGACCACCCGATCCCGTTAGTCGCCTAATACGACAGACATAGTCATCTTTTACGGCCTATATTATAATGCAACAAATACTATTCACTAGAATAAGACGTGGGTGTGTTTGCTGTGACAGTACAGGTTGCGGTTCAGGTACTTTCGTGGTAGTTTGTGCAGGTATACGTACTCATGCTTTATGGCTGCAGTTATCTCCCTTGACCTTTTCATGAGTGAAGCCATCTGTGGTGTCCTGCTGATGGACTCCGGCGACACACGGTCCTGTCATGGAAGGAAGACATGTTTTTAATGGTTAATATCTAATGATATTGAATGTTGATTCATATATTTGTGTAATTTCAATACTTTATATAAGAAAGTACTTCTACTACCAATGCGTTTATCTCAACTTGACCCACCATAGGCAAACCATAAAACCCCATATCTGGTGGAGGGGACTGTAAAATCTCGGATAATGGATAATCAACACATTTACCAGTACCTCGGACATGTGTCTGTTATCTATGTTACATCTTAAACATATGTAGTTTTAAAATAGGCTGTTCCACGCGAGTTACGACTGACTGATATATCATCGCGAGTATATCAGAAGAAAGGGCTTGTCATAAGATAATTATATTTACACTTTTAGCAAAGACAAGACTAACTACATGTTTGAAAGGCTACAAAACATTAAAATATAAGTTAAACACTGAGACATTAACCCTGAAATCACAAAGAGACAGGGCTCACAATTATTAGCATCAAGTGTGAAGAAAGTTTAAACGCGATGCAGTTCTGAGACATGTTCCACATAAACCTAATCAGCGAGTACATGTATCTGGAATTCGTTCGATCTCACAATCAATATCTGCAAGGCGAATTGCTGCGTCTCCGATGACTTGACCAAATGTGCCCTCTGAAGTATTTTCGGGGGCACGGGGGGCCCAGTCGTCTAAAGAGCCGCGATTCGCAGTGCAGATATTGATTGTGAGACCGAACGAATACCAGATAAAGGAATGATTGTGGGTTCGCCCCGATTGTGTTTCTAGGTTTATCAGCACCATACCCGTGCTCGTGGGATTCACCGAAGTATTAAACGTCTGAGACCTGAGGCTTTCCTCCCACATTAAGCTGACACGCCGTGATAAAATTGGAATACTGTTAAAAGCGGCGTTAAATCCAACTCACTCACTCACTCACATTACACATTAGTGTAAGCTAATGTCGTTGTTCATCTTGAGAATACCTTGTCCTTTAGTGCACCGTCCGCTCCGCAAAATACCAGAATATCAGCTGTTGCAAAATGGTTTCCGTTGACAGCAAAATGCAAGGGGGTTCTCCCAGCCTGTAATGAATGAAAAGTTAATACAACCCATTTTCTGTCTGAACTACCCGTATGATTTTAAACATGCTATAATTCAGATATTATCGTATTGATCCTAACTGGCAGATATTAGGGTGTTTGTAGTAGCTTCATACCGAATCTCTAGTGTCTATTCTTGCTCCGTGTGCCAGTAGTTGCTTCACACTGTCCATGTCACCATGGGCGGATTCAAAATGCAACGCAGTTCTCTTCAGCTGTAAAATAAATACCCCGTTTGTGATTGGAATGTCATAAGACGTTGATACGAATTGGCGATAATAATAGAAGCGAGAAAAGCCATTTCATTATCATCAAAAAGTCCATTGTTCGATTCCGACTATATCATTAACATGTGTTCGCGGAAAAGTGAACGTTTCCTGACCCAACCGGCGCACTCGTAACAAACACATGCAAAGGAAAGTCAATTGTTTACCTGAAAAAAGGGAAATGTATGGTTCAAGTAAAAATGGGAAATTGCATCAGACATCATTTTGATCACTAATGCGTTAAATGTGGAAATGCCATCCACCTGTCTGTGCACGTTTGAAGCTTTACTTGGGCCTTGAGTGTTAACCCTGATCAAACTACGCCAGGTGTCATCTCAGACAAGCTGAACCTTATCAACATGTTAACTTTATCCCAAAGTGAGATTTCACCACAATGCATGACAAATCTGTAGTAACTGTAGCTGAAAATCACGAGATATCCAAGATTTACCTTGTCCGACGCATTGACGTCAACGTTTTTATGACAAAGCAACGTCTGCACCGTATTGTTTCGGAGTTCGGCCGCCCAAATTAAAGGAGTCTTTCCTTCCTGCAAGTATAAAAGTTTATACTAGCAAGTGTTTGCGATCCAGTTTGCGTTATAGTTTGATTTATTGCGTTAACTGTTTGATCGGCATTCTAGTGAGTGAGTGAGTGAGTGAGTGAGTGAGTGAGTGAGTTGTGTTTAACGCCGCTTTTAACAGTATTTCAGTTATATCGCGACGTGTCAGCTTAATGTGGGAGGAAAGTACGAAATGATGAAACCCACGAGCACGAGCTGACAAACCTAGAAACATAATCGGGGCGAACCGGGATTCGATTCCACAATCATAGGTTTCTGGCGGGCCCAAGGGACGCAACTCTGCACAGCGAATCGCGGCGCCTTAAACGACTGGGCCACCCGTGCCCCCGATCGTCATTCTAGGAGTTTGTGAACACAAATAATCACCACCGTCCAGAACAACACGTGCAATGTTTAGTGCCTGTCTACAATCGCACCCCGTGGGAATTCCAGGTAAGAACAGGTCCCCAATGAACTAAGCTGGTCTTAAGAGGCGACTAAATGGGTAGTGGTCAAGCTCGAACACTTGGTTGATTGTGTGTCATCGAACCCGACGTGGATCGTTGCTCACACTATCTATCAGTGGATAGTCGGGTCCTGACTCGATTGTTTAACGGCCGCCGTCATACAGCTAGAAGAGTAGTTAGGCGTTAAACAACAAATAAACAAACAAACTACCATCGCAAACAGTCATCATACACTCAGCCTCTGATTGTTACAATACATGGATGTGTATAGACATCTGACGATGAAGGTCGTGACTTTGAAGACAATCTACATCATGATTCTAGGAATAGGTCCAAACATTCTATTGCCATACGTACTTTTCTGGCAGTGGGGTAGCCTAGTGGTTAAAGCGTTCGTTCGTCACGCAGAAGGCCCGGGTTCGATTCCTCACACAGGTACAAATTGTGAAGCCCATTTCAGGGGTCCTCGTCGTGATGTCACTGAAATAATGCTATTGAAACGTAAAACCATACCAGCGTCTACTCACCTCATCTCTCCCGTTTACATTGCCACCAAGTCTGATAAACTCCTCCATATTATGCGTCTGTGCGCGCTTTACGGCCTCGAACAACTTGGTTGTGTTTCTCTCCACCACGTGTCTTGGTGGCTTCTCCCCATCTGCATCCCTGACGCTCGTGTGACCTCTCCCGCCTTTCTGCGCAGCTTCTGGCCTCGCCGATTTGTCTTCCGGCTCATCTTTGGGGCTCTTCTTCCCACCCTCGGTCTTCCTCGGAGTGTCAGTCTTCTTTTCAGTCGCTGTTTTCCTGGGAGTGTCACTTGGAGAGGCACTCTTCCACTTCGCGCCCTTCGGGTCTGCGTGGGAAACTTTCTTGGAGCCCGGCATACTCGCCGCTCAGATCGAAATTCCTCAGTGGGATAACCTGGGTGAGATGTTACATAAACAAATTATATACAATTTCACTGCTAATGACAGTAATCAGAGAGGAACACAAATGACAATAGAGATACGTATGTGTACTGTGAAACCTCTTTAATCCGGACGTCTGGAATCACCTGTAATGGGCAATGTCCTTATTTTATATGTAGACGTCGCTAAGAGTAATCGTCCCAAAAGGAGGACCGGACTAGAGAGGTTTCACTTTATATGCATTGCGAAACGACGGGTGGGAAGGATGGATATATACTAATTGAGTCCGTAAAGTACAGTAACTTCAATGGTTTGTGGGGGCCGTCGGGTAGCCTAGTGGTTAAAGCGTTCGCTCGTCACGCCGACGACCCGGGTTCGATTCCCGACATGGGTACAATGTGTGAAGCCCATTTCCGGTGTCCCCCGCCGTGATATTGCTGGAATATTGCTAAAAGCGGCGTAAAACCATACTCACTCACTCACTCACTCAATGGTTTGTGAAGTTCGGGACAGCTATTTAGCATCTGGGAAGTTTAAAGGTAAATCGGTAGCTGCAAGAAGCTGCCACTTCATGAGTACTTTGTTTTATCATCATCATCATCAGCAGCAGCAGCAGCAGCAGCAGCAGCATCGTCGTCGTCGTCGTCGTCTTCACAATGCACGAACAAAGTGTCTGTTATGTTAGTTATGACATGCCCAAACATTTCATTGTATATACCATAATTGTATTCCTTGTTTGACCGCGTGTTTATATACAAGCGTGAGGAAACCCTGTTCACCATTAAAATCACATAGAAATGAATGTGCATGGATTTTTTCAGAATCATGCATGATAGTCACATGTACACCTTAAAATTGCACGTGCATCCCGGTCGTTGCATGCATAAAATTCCATTCAAATGTAAGAAATTCCTCACACATTCACAGCATTCGTGGGACCGAGTCAATTCAAACACAGTAAATCCGTTGAAGTGTTTAACTGTAAGAAGCAACTTTCATATCGGCCAAACCTCGTAAATGTTGTTTGTTTGTTTGTTGTTTAACGCCGCACTCAGCAATATTCCAGCTTTATGACGGCGGTCTGTAAGTAATCGAGTCTGGACCAGACAACCCAGTGTCTGACATCATGAGCATCGATCCACGCAATTGGGATCGATGACATGCATAAACCAAGTCAGCGAGCCTGACCGCCCGATCCCGTTAGCCGCCTCTTACGAGAAGCATAGTCGCCTTTTATGGCAATCATGGGTTGCTGAAGACCTTATCTACCCCGGATAGTCGCGGGCCTCGTAAATGTGATAGGAGTAATCATACAATTGTCAGTTTGTTCGACAAAGTGGGTTTTAAGGATTTGAATCATACTTTTTTCGGACTGTCAATTGGCCCGGGCCTATTGCCCCTTTAAGCAAGCTCGTCGCCAAGATAATATTATGTCGTTGTCTAACCTTCACTGGGACCCATTAAGTGCAAGCTCACACTTGTAAACAGGTGCATTGTGTTTACTTGAAAAAGTGACTTTTGTCATGTGTGAATCCAAACATCCCGCAATTGACTTACACCAAAGAGGATATCGGTAGAGGTATAGCGTCGTTTTATGGTGTTCGGTGTCAGTTTAACACAGTCTCGACATAAGTAGTCATAGCCCGTGTCATCGTAAACACTACTGCAGTCACGTTTGGCTTGTTAGCCATATATGGGGAACACTCTTGCCAATATGTGCCTGATGAAACTTTGGAACAAAATGTTCATGATCATATTATTATTATTTTCTAGTCTTACGTGAATAAGAATGAAAGTTTACATTTCAGAGTTATTCAACAGTTGGAACAATGAAGGGTCTTGAGTAAGTGAGTATAAATATGTGAGCATTATTTTGACCGTATGGATGCTAGAATCCGTTTTAGGTGGGAGTGAGTGAGTGAGTGAGTGTGTTGGGTTTTACACCTTTTGAATAACAATTTTGGGCGTCGCTGTCGCCATATCTTTACAATACACGATATCTGACGCTAAAAAGCCAAGGAGAATAATCAGGGTGAATCTTGGAGTCGATCCAGGATTAGTGGATCCTGACATGGCAAAGGGACACAAATATGCATATAAAATGGCCTTTAGATTATTGGGCAACCCGTGACTAATTATGTCATCAATTATGTAATATAAGTCAGCGCTCTATGCATGTTTCTTTGAACAGCTCGTTTATAGTTTCAATACTGCAGCAATTCTATATAACCTGTCCAGTTGATCGTTTATTAACGAGTATTTGCTTAAGATCTGAATGCTATCTGTTTTCAGTGAACAATGTGTTGTCTACATATTCGTTTACTAACTGCTTTGTGGAGATCGACTGCTCAATCGACTGTGACCTCATGGTTTGTACATACACATAATTACCCTAGGTTGACAGACCGTTTGACACCCCCTACCACGAGCGTGACCTCATATTTTTTACATACATATAATTACCCTAGTTTGGCAGGTCGTTTGACGACCCCTACCACGAGCGTGACAAATGAAATCTAAGATGATGAGAGGATAGAAATGCTGCGCATTGTAATTTAAGTGATATTGCAAACTTGCTCAGCAACTGTTAACGTGCCAGTTGCATCAACATGACCATGCCATTAGAAACATCATTAAAACAAGTGTCATATTTACATGTCATATTATATGTCGTATCTCCTGACGTGTCATTGTTAATGACTTAATCATAACGTGTCATATTCTATATGCCACATGTCATAACGCGTCAAACTGTATGTGTCATATGCAATAACGTGTTATACTTTATATGTCATATGTCATAACTTGTCATACTTTGTATTGCATATATCATAACTTGCCATACATTATATGGCATATATCATAACTTGTCATACTTTATATGTCATATGTCATAACGTGTCATGTTTTATGCATAATATGTCATTAAGTATCATATTTCATATGCCATATGTCACAACGTGTCATAATGTATGCGTCATATGCCATAACGAATAATACTTTATATGGCATATGTAATTACGTGTAATATTTTATGTGTTATTTGTCATCACGTATCATATTTTATACATCATATGTCATTACGTGTAATATTTTATGTGTTATATGTCATCATATATCATATTTTATACATCATGTCATTACGTGTAATGTTTTATGTGTTATTTGTCATCACGCATCATAAATTATATATCATATGTCATTACGTGTAATATTTTATTTGGTATGTAATCAAGTATCATATTTTATAACGTGTTTGCCATCAGTTTGTAAGGCTAAGTAGGGAGCACAGAAAACATGAACTTTTAAATGCTTGGAGTTTGAGACCTAAAATAGAGCTAAAATAACCCGATTCTGAGGGATAGAGACACAATCCTGTCTCAGGCGCACATGAATAAACTTGGCTGATGTGGTTAATGTTCTTGTTATTGTAACAATTTATTGTTTGAGACAGGCAATTTCTTTCTTTATACAACAATATGTGGAATGAAGAATAATTATTTCTTTGAAGCGTTTCCTGGGACAATTAAATGTTTCATATATAACGTGGTATCTTTGTCGATTTGACAATGATTCTCGGCTTCACTGCTTCATATCGGCGATACAGTTTGTCGTTGGAACACTCCACGCACACAGGTATCAGATGCGCATTGATTACAACATTACAGACATTCCAGGCACCGACATCACAGACACCCCTAGCCAGTCACGCAACGCCGTTCTGGTCCCTTGCCAAACGGGTAACTCGAGAGACCCGCGACTATACCGTCGATCGGTACTTGTTCACATGACAGGTATACTTACTTACTTACTTTGGAGATTTAACGTGCGCTTTCCGACTGATGCGTATTTCGCACACGGGACAGGTATACTCAACTAAAGCAGTTGATATACTTGGCTGCTATAAAACGTCGTATGAAGAATACAAGAAGTTGCTGTCCATAAAGAGGTGTCATGTGTTCAGCTACCCTCATCTAAAGTAGCGTATTCACTTGGCTTCTCTGAAACGTCGTATGAATAATAAAAGCAGTTTATTTACTTGGCTGCTATGGCTGTGTTGACGGGTTATGAAGAAACTATTATCACTCTTCCAAGAACCCTCTTCTCGTTCTGGGAACATGTCAAATTGAACCGCAATAAAGGAGAGTTTGCTTCTCAACCCACAACAAGAACCTCTTGAAATGCCAATGTCGTATTGTGTAGTTCAAGTCATTCACAGCCAATGTAATGATTTAACACCGCGAGATAATGTACTTCCTGGTTCACAATGACCAATCAGGTTTTCTGAATTCGACGTGTATGTACCAGTATGTACAGACAAAGATACGCAGGGAACACAGAAAACATGACCTGTTAAATGCGAATGTGGGGCTTCAGACCGAGCCAAGTGGCCCTATGTGGACAACAGTAAGATCACTATAATATATGTATATTACGGGCAGTCATATTGCAAGGAACTTCCCGAAGCTTACCCGTGTAGTAACCACGTGGTCAAAACTCAGTGATGATGATTATCACTAGCAAAATATTTCTGGAAAAGCGGACTTTGCATTTTTTGTATATCTAAAAAAAAAATTCCTTATAATTCCTTATAAGTATTAGAACACATACAGCTACCTTCGTTAATTAACAATCGCGATATTTCGTGATTCTATTTCAAGTGGCGAGCACCATATTGGTGGTTTTATGGTGTTAGCTCACTCAGATACCATGCCACAGTTTTACAGGGATACCCCACACAGTGTACTGACTCCGAGTAGACCAGTCCTTGTTTTATCCCCTTAATGCCGAATTCCAGTCAGGGTAACAACAAGTACCATCTTTTAACGTCTTTTGGTATGACGCCGCCGAGGGATCGAACCCCCTTTCCGAACTCTGGACATGCGCTCCATCCACTACACTACGGTGAGTGAGTGAGTGAGTGAGTGAGTGAGTGAGTGAGTGAGTGAGTGAGTGAGTGAGTGAGTGAGTGAGTTGGGTTTAACGCCGCTTTTAACATTATTCCAGTTTATT